ATCCCAGGGTTGTGGGATCGAGCCCCACATCAGGCTCCATGCTGAACGTGGAGCCTGCTTGGGATTCTCTCTCCTCCTCCCTCTCTCTCTGCTCCCCCCTCCCCTGCTGTCTCTCAAAATAAATAAATAAACATTAAAAAAAAGAAATGAAAAACAGCTTTTTAAGTCATGCCACAGGTAAAATTATAGGTGACAGGTGATAGGAATTATTTTACAAGCCATTCACAAATTATGAAAAGTGACATTATGTGGGGACTAGGGCCTTTGCCGGGAGCTATCTCTAGGGAGCCTCCTCTGGCCCCTTGTGTGTCTTTCCTATAAGAACACTGGTCATTGAGGGGCGCATAGGGGGCTCAGTTAAGCGTTCGACGTCGGCTCAGGTCATGATCTCACAGTTCATGGGTTCGAGCCCCGCGTCGGGTTCTGTGCTGACAGCTCGGAGCCTGAAGCCTGCTTCGGATTGTATCACCCTCTCTCTCTGACCCTCCCCTGCTCACGCTGTCTCATTCTCTCACTCAAAAACAAAACGTTACCAAAAAAATTAAAAAAAAAAAAACAGTAGTCATTGAATTTAGGACTCCCCCAAATCCAGCATGACCTCATCCCATAGAAGATCATCCAGACTGGAAGAGTGGAGCTGAGGGAAGAGTGGGCTCAGAGTCCCAGATTTCCGGAACGGAAAAGAGCGAACTGATGTATTGTCCACTGTCAGGGGTTGGCAGACTTTTTCTCTCAGGGCAGACAACAACATTTTTGGCCTGGAGGGGGGCCTACAGTCTCTGTCTCAAGTACGAATCTCTGTTGTTACAGCACAAAAGTAGCCAGAGATAAGAACTACACGAATGCACATGACTATGTGCCAATAAAACTTTCTAAGAACAGGCTGAAGGCCAGACCTGGCCCAACGGTAGTAGTCCGCCAAGCTTTGTCCTCTATGCTTAATCAGACAGCAAAACAAAAAGACAAGACAAAACAAAACAAAACTACTAGTAGGCCTAAGGCAAACATAATGGGAAAACATAGGAAATCGTCAGAGAGCAAGGCCATAAGAAGAAATCAAAAAAGATAATGTTGGAAAGTAAGGTTAATACCAGAGGAAAGAGTCAGTGTTGAAAATGGTTAGTTACTGGGGCGCCTGGGTGGCTTAGTCGGTTTAAGCGTCCGACTTTCGCTTGGGTCATGATCTCGCGGTTCGTGGGTTCGAGCCCCGCGTCGGGCTCTGTGCTGACTGCCAGCTCAGAGCCTGGAGCCTGTTTCAGTCTGTGACTCCCCCTCTCTCACCCTGACCCTCCCCTGCTCACGCTCTCTCTCTCTCTCTCCTAGAAATAAAAAAGAAAAAAAAATTAAAAAAAAAAGAAAATGGTTAGTTACTAGGGGAAGGGATGTGAGTAGTAGAGACGGCACAAGGCACTGTTACTTTGGTATAAACCTTCCTCATCTTTTTGATACTCGAACAACAGTAAAACAATGTATATGCATTACCTTAATAAAAAATTAAAACTTAACCACAGCGGGGGGGCCGGTCAGGACGGTGGGAGACCTCAGACCTGAGGCTTTATGCTCCCCTGGGAGAGAGATGTGGCAGCTCCCACCAGGGGGAGCTGTGAGAAAACACAATGATTTTTCTCTGGGAAAGTAAAACCGAAAACCACCAAGACTGATCTACAGAGGGGAAGGCCAGGCCGCCACCCAGTGGGCCAAATCTGGCCCTCTACCGGTGGGTGTTGTTTTGGTTTGGTTTTTGTTCTTTTATCCTATTATTATTTTTTATTGAGATATAACGGACCTATGACATTAGTTTCAGAGGTACAACCCAATTCTATTTGGATATATTGCAAAGTGAGCGCAAATCTTGTCACCATCACTGCAGGCACTTAGAATTTTTTTCTTGGGACGAGAACTTTTAAGATCTATTCTCTTAGCAACTTTTTAAAAATGCCTATTTGTTTATTTTGATAGAGACAGAGAGAGAGAGAACGCGTATTTGGGGGCAGGGGCAGAGATGGAGGGAGACACAGAACTGGAAGCAGGTTCCAGGCTCTGAGCTGTTAGCTGAGAGCCCAACGTGGGGCTTGAACTCACGAACCGTGAGATCATGACCTAAGCCGAAGTCAGTCGTATAATCAACTGAGCCCCTCAGGCGCCCCCAAAGCAGGTTTTAATATGGGGGTTTGGGGCACCTAGCTGGTTCAGTTGGTAGAGCATGCCACTCTTGATCTCAGGGTTATAAGTTCAAGCCCCACGTTGAGCATTGGGATTACTTAAAAATAAAACCTTAAAAAAATTGGAGCTTACTTTCTTCTCACCAGACAGGAAACTGATGTGTAAATGGATGCTGGCTTTGATTCAGCTACTCAGTGTTGCCATCAAGGGCACAGGATTTGAATGTCCTAAGCTGCTGACTTCTTGTGCCCCTTACTGTTGCTTCCTGATTGCAAAATGGCTGCCATGACTCTATACAGTACATCCCGTTCCAGAAGAAGAGGGGGGAACCTCAGTGATCTTTCCTTTCCTGCCTGTCCTTTAAAGCAGATGCGTTTGCAGAGGCTGACTTGCCCTTGTGTTGATTGGTCAAGATGCCCACGCAGCCGCTTGTCACTGTAGAGCAGTCTGGGAAGCAGGGTTTTGCTTTCCCACCATCTCTGGTTCAAAGGAAACTGGAGAAGGGGCTGGAAACGGTTGTATCATCTACTACAACCATCACAGTAAGAGATGTTAAAAGTCCCCTTCGGTAGCCCAAACAACCAGTCACAGACATGAACTGGGTAAATAGGATGCAGGGCTGGGGTGAAGGGAGAAAATTTAAGGGGAAGCCAAAACAAAAACAAAAACAAAGCAACGCACACAAAAAACAGTCACCAAGACGAATAACACTTCAATGCAGTATGTTAAAAACATCAACACGAGTGCCCAAAATCCACGATGAGCAAACTGCCAACATTTTAAATAAAGACAGGATTCGCCAGGGCCAGGGCTGGAGGGCTGTGCGCTGTGCGCGTGCAGGGTCAGGTCCTCACTAATTGTCTACAGGACGCACTGTAGGAAGAATTCCCATGTCAGCAGGACACAGTGAAGCTCAGAGAAGTGAGTCTAGAACTGGCAGTCTCTAACACCCGGCCTCGGATAAGCTGTGTGCCCCGGGGCAAATTACCTAGCCTCTCTGTTTTCCCATCGGTAGAGTTAGGGACAGTTCTACCGAGTGCAGCTGCCAGGCGGTATTAAGCACTACTCAGGTCTGGGGACCACAACTCAAAGACCCCCTGAGAGTGCGGATGTTCTGTGAAGAGCTGGGACAGAGCTGAGTTAAGAGGCCCTTCTGCCACTTGCTTCCTGTGTGACCTCAGCCAAGTAGCGTGGCCTCTCTGACTTTTCATTGCTCTGATGGAGTGCATTCTGAGTATTAAATAATGCCACGGGGTCAGAATAGCCTATTTATTTAAAGAATTTTTGATTGAGGGGGGCACCTGGGTGGCTCAGTTGGTTAAGCATCCAACTTTGGCTCAGATCATGATCTCACGGTTTGTGGGTCTGAGCCCCATATGGGTTCGAGCCTGCTTCGGATCCTGTGTCTCCCTCTCTCTCCCTGCCCCTCCCCCACTTGTGCGCTCACTCTCTTGCTCTCTCTCTCTCTCAAAAACAAACATTTTTAAAAATTTTTAATTGAGGAAAAATTCACATTAGATGAACCATTAACTAGTTTATTTTTTAAATTTAATTTTAAAAATTTTAAATGTTTATTTTTTAGGGAGAGGGAGACAGAGTGCAAGTAGGGGAGGGGCAGAGAGAGAGGGAGACACAGAATCTGAAGCAGGCTCCAGGCTCTGAGCTGTCAGCACAGAGCCCGACGCGGGGCTCGAACCCACCAACCGTGAGATCATGACCTGAGCTGAAGTCAGACGCTCAACCGACTAAGCCCCCCAGGCGCCCCCCGTTAACCAGTTTAAAGTGGGCCTCCCAGTGGCATTCGGTACATTCACAATGTTACGCAGCCATCAGCTCTAGTTCCAGACATTCCCATCACCCCAGGGGGAGACTCTATGCCTATTAGCAGTCATTCCACATCTCTCCTGTCCCCAGCCCCTTGCAACCTCTAGTCTACTTTCTGGCCCTGCGAATTTGCCTATTCATGAATGCCATCTCCCGTCCATTAAAGGCATGACCTCAAAGTGGCCTCCATCACTTCTGTCCACCTACCATGGGTGAGGATTTAGCCAGACGACCACATGCAGCAACAAGGGACTTGGGAATCACAGTCTTTAGGTGACGGATCTAGAAAAGATGCAGCCAAGTGGATATTGGTGGGCACTGGCTCTCCCAGCCACAGCTGCCTCTGTACTCTGTGAACACTGGTCAGCTGCGGAGCCGAACCACCCAGAAGGCTCCAGAGACAATGGAACGCTGCCTGTCCCTTCCTCTTGGCAGGAAAGAAATATTTGGTTGATAAATATTAATGTACTGAGCACCTGCTGTGTGTGCCCTGCCAGAGATGCAGCAATGAGCAAACCAGACAGAGAGAAGGGGAGGCTGTCTGAAGATCTATAACGTAGGGCAGCGTAATAGAAAGTGGTGAAATCCTTTCTGTCTCCACTCGGAGAACCTCTCCTGACCTCCCCATGTCAGGTTCCTCATCAAACCCACTTGACATACTGTGGGTCTCTCTGCATTATTGTTAAGTCAAATTTGTTTGCATGATTCCAGGTTTTCCGACTGTCTTCCTGAACAGGTTTCATCTGGTTTTGCTCCTCTTTGTGTCCCCAGATTCTAACACAATGTACAAAGTAAATGTTGTGGCCCCGTATCAATTCCACAAATTCCACCGCAGAAATGAGGTAGCTGCACACATGCACGCGTGAACCAATGAGTGAAAAGAGAATAGCAATCCTCCTGTCCCAGAAGCAGTTTTCTCCAGGGGTGGGGGTGGGGGGCAGGGACAGCCAGTGATGTCACAAGAGGTGGCTGGGATGGAAGATTCCAGAAGGTTGAATGAGGTAGCAGGCTCTTGGAGAGGAATACTGACCACCTTCCTGCTTCTCGTCACCACAACCATCCTGGCTGGACCCAGACAGTGACGAGAGCTGGGAAGGCGCCACACATGCCTGGATTTCCAGAAGGGGCAACTTGCTTATCATCTTTGTGGAAGAGGAAAACACTTTGAGTGCCCAGATATTTCAGCAACCAAAGACATGTGATGGCCAGGACTCATGACAAGTGGCAGGTGACAGTGATATGGGAGAGGGGCATGTGGGGGTCCTTTGGGATTCAGTATCTGGTTGTCATTCAGCAGCGTATTTCATTAGGACTTAGTCTTACCACAGGCACACATTTTGATCTTGAGCTAGACCCTCAGTATCTTTTTCTGTGTTGCATTTTCTCATTGACTGCTGCTGGTGTACAAAAAAAGCTATTGATCTTTGAATACTGATAACTTTATAGAAATTTTTATTTCTAATAGGTTTTCAGCTATTTTTTTATTTTATTGGATAGTCTGGTAGTCATGCATTATCAGGTGCAAAATGACAATGTTGTCTGTTCCTAATCTGTATTCCCTTCATTTATTTTTCTTATCTTATAGCATTGGCTAAGAACCTCCAGATCAATGCAGAATAGCAGCAGTGACAACTGACATCTTTGTTTTATTCCTTACTTCTTAGAAATTCTTGCAGTGCTTTCATTGCTATTATTAAGTATAATATTTATTGCATGTTTCTGCTATATGTTCTTTACCAAGTTAAGGAAATGTCTTCCATTTCTTATTTGCTAAAGATTTACATAAAAAATAGATTTCATCAAATTCTATCTTGAGGAGATCATGTTTTTCCACCCTTTGTCCCTTAAATGCAGCAACTCATGTTGAGAGATGTTTAATGTTGAATAATTTTTGCAGTTACAATAAACCCTGTGTGGCCTTTTAAAATTGTGAAACATCTAGCATATAAATAACATGAAAAACATACCTGAAAACTTAATGAATAGCACTAAATGTCTGTATACCGACTTCACTTTATGGAATAAAATGTTACGAGTAACTTGAAAGTCCTCTGTGTGTTCTACCTTTTGCTATGTTCCTCCCTCTCCTGAAAGCAGTAACCACTATCCTGAATTGCCTACAGAACTTTCCCTCAGTTTTACCACCTAAGCAAGTACTAGTCAATGTTGTCTGTTTGTGAACTTTATATAAATAGAATCATACTGTAACCTGCTTCTTTATCAGCATCATGGCTGGAAAATGCATCCAAGTTTGTGCGTTTGTTCCTGCATTTTTCTTCACTGCATAGTGTAACGTAATCGATATGTTCATTCTCCTGTTGATGGACATTTGGATTTTTCCAGTGTGGGGTTCTTATGGACACTGCTGCTGTGAACACTCTTGTTCATGTCTCCTGGGGCAGATGTGCAAGAGTTTCTCTTGAGTACATATACCCAGGAGTGAAAATACCAAATCAGGGATATGTACATGTTCATTTTTAATGGTTAACACCAGGGCTTTGCCAAGTGGGCATGCCATCTTTAGCTTCCACCGGCAGTGGAGGAGAGCTCCCATTCTCCTTCCTCTCCAGCATTTGGATGCATTTTTGTATCTACTAGGAATGAAAGGATACCTCATTGTGGCTTTAATGTTCATTTCCCTAACTACCTTGTCCTGCGTTTACAGCCCATTCGTGTTTTCTGTTCTGTGAACTTCTTGTTCATGTTTTCGCCCATCTCCTATTGGAATATTTACCTATACTTTTTTTTTTCTAAATCCAAAAGAGCTTTTTTCATGTTACGGATATGAATTCTTTCTTGGGGTATGAGCCAAGCAAATATCTTATCCCAGTCAGTGACTTGTCTTGACTTCCTGTTTTCTGATGTTTTAATAAATAGACATTCTTCACTGGCTCAAAATTCTTTTAACACGTAGCTGGATTTGACCTTAGCTTGATTGAAGAATCCTACCCATCTCAATGCACCAGCTACTCACGAGTGAATGAGTGCTCCCACAATGAAAAAGAAAAAATTGTGCTGTGACACAGGCAAACTAGCCTTGCTGTGTTCTAGGTTCATTTGTAAAATGGGAATAACAGTAAATAATAGTACCTACCCTCCAGGATTATTGTGAAGATTAAATGAGTTAATGTGTAAACCTTCGCAACAGTACTTGGTGCATAGGAAAGACCCATCTGTTACTTTCTGTGATTACAGTTGCTGTTTTGTATTAAACAGAGTCTTGGTCTTAACTGGACTGCTGGTTATACCAGGACCCTCTCAGCCCAGAAGCACGAGGAAATGACTGTGGGTATGGCTCCCATATTACTTCTGTATATAGAAAACACTCTAATTCTGCTTGCCATCTGCACCTTGCAACTGCCTTGTCTCATCCAGGGTTTCTCAGTGTTGGCACTGTTGACCTTTGGGGTCAGATAGCTGTGAGGGGCTATCCTGGGCATTGCAGGGCACTGAGCAGCATCTTTGGCCCCTGCCCACTGGACGCCAGTAGCACCCCTACTTGTGACTACCAAAATGTCTTCAGGTACTGCCAACTTTCCCCAGGGGCCCAGAATGGCCCCTGGTTGAGAACCACAGGTCTACTAAATCAGTATATTTAGATACATACTCATTTGCCTAATGTTGAGCAGACCCCTTTCGTGTGTCAGGCACTGTGTTATGTGTGAGGGATATAATGATCCACAAGATAGCCACACACACACACACACACACACACACACACACACACACACCTAATTACAAAGCTAGATTATGCAATACAGGGAAAGAAAGGGTGGAATAAGAGGGTGTAGGGTCTAGCCCAGCCTGATATAATAGAGGATGTTCCCCTGAAGAAAAGACTCATAAGCAGAGGCTAAGTTTGGGGAGAGACTGGTAGATGAAGATTAGGGAGAACAGTGTTTTGAGCATAAGGGACAGAATGTGCAGGCATGTGGGGACCTACTTGCAAGACTGAGGTGATGGAGTCGGCCAGTGGGCCAGATGTGGGGGAAGGAGAGGGATAAGGGGGGGAAATTGGGCAGGGGGAAAGGGAGGGAGGGAGGGAGGGTAGACAGCAGAAGGAGACAGAAGCAAGGAAGGGAGAAGGGAAACAGAGAAGGGAGGAAAGAGAGGTGGGAGAGACAAAGGAGGCAAGGGAGGGAGGGAAGGTGGTTAGGCAATGGGTAGAGGGATGAATGGATGAGTGGATGGAAAGAAGGAAGGGAAGATGGATGGATGGATGGATGGAAGGAAGGAACAGAATGATGGAATGAATAGAACGAGGGAAAGAGCAATGGAGGCAAAGGGGTAGGAAGTCAAGTGTGGATCAAGGGTGACCCCAAGGTTCTGGGCCAGACCCTCACTCCAGGAGGGCCTTGGACCTCCTGGTTTCTTCTTTTGTGGCACACTTTATGATTGTCTTTACATGGATGTTCACAGCTTCATCCAGATCGTGTTTGGCTATTTGCTTTGTCCCACTGACTGATGTACTCCGTGTGTGTGAATGCCACAGAGACTCACTTAAGCTCATGTTATAATGTGCCTTTTTAGCTCCCTGTTTTCATGGAATACAAAGCCAGTGTCTGCTAGTGTAGAACTGTGTGCAGGCTGCGGGGCTACATTTGCCAGACCACGTATCATCAGGTTCTTGTCTGTTGTGTCCCTGGACCTTGTAGAATGTTAACTGCAGATCTAGAGGGTAGAACAGCTTGATTCTTGCATCAAGTATAATGTCTGTCATGAACAAGATAATACAATTTTCTTTCATGGAAACCGCCGGCACATCATTTTCAATCAATGCCAGCCAGCAATTCTGGCCTCCAAGGGGACAGTTGATGAAGTCTGCAGATGTCTTTGATGGGACCAAAATGGCACATTGGATTTGTGACTTTAATTACATGCTTAGGGGATTCTGATTAAGGAAACGTGTGTGGCCAATGTTCAAACGTTTGGGAAACTTTGATTTGTTAAATTCCAAAGTTCATTAAATAACATTTAATATTTTCATATCTTCTAAATATTTTTCAAACTGTATTAGCCTGCTTTGGCTGCCCTAAGAGAATATGGCAGAATGGGTGGCTTGGCATTACCTTTTGGATCAGGGCCCCACTCTTAGGACTTCATCTAACCTGAATTACCTCCCTGAAGGTTCCATCTCCAAACACCATCACACTGGAGGGTTAGGATTTCAACATATGAATTTTGGGGAACATAATTTAGTTCAGGAAAATAATAATTAATTTCTGTTAAGTAAATGTTTAAAAGAATGTTAGTTAATAGATTTAAGGATGAACATACTGAAAATCACTCAAGGTTAAAGGACGGTGGTTGACTGCATCATACACAAAAGGCTTCAAACGACAGTCCAGTTAATGAACGTGCACGGTCCTCCGAGGATGTGACCGTGTGACCTCGAGTCTGACCACTGACCAGTATCTTCCAAGGGGGTGGCATCAGTCTTACAATGTATGAGAGTGTCTGTGTTTCCACATCCTTGCTACTATACTTTTCAACCCCTTTTGATCTCAATCTGACAGGTGAGAATCCCATCTTAATATTTTCTATTGCATTTCTCTTGGGACCCAAAATGTCATTGTAAAATTTGTTCTCAGGGAACTTTCTATTTATGCCCTTTGCCTATCTTCCCATTGGGGCTTGGATTTTTTTCTTACTGGTCCATTGGAGCTCTTCACATTTAAAGGAAATCAGGCCTTTATCCATTAGACACGTTATCCCTAATTTCTCTGTTGTTGATCTTTTGACTATTTATGGCATTCTTCTGCCATGTGGGAAGTGAAAAACTTCTTATGTAGCAAGGTTTACCATTTCTCCTTTACATCCTTTAGGCTTTCATGTTGTACTATCTGGCAACCCACCAGAAAAGAACTCTCCGGTAAGCTTCTTTCCCGTGGGCAGGTTCACAATGTTTTCTGACCCACACACCGCATATAGACTCGGTCCCAATATTCTAAGCATTTAAGAGACTCTTCTGGAAACTCACAGATTGAATGCCCTCTGGGCTTACCACTGCTCTAGGATCTGGCACACAGACGGCTCTCCTCCCCATCTAGGCCCAGGACAGACATGACTAATCTATCCCCAGGACTCTACGCAGACATGACCGGTGAATGAAGTTGGCCTCAGACCTGTAGCCCTTTGCCAGTCCTGCTAAGTCCCCGCTCTGTGCCCTGCAGGCTGTGAAGAATGGTTTTTCTGGACCTAGAAGGGCTAAACTCTCAATGGCTCACGAAGAGGAGACTAAGGACCCTGGACTGGACAGGAATAAAACAAAAGGTATGCCGTGCGAGAGTGCTCATGGGAAAGAAAGGTTCACCGACTCAGCCAAGCCTTTTGAGAAAGGGGCCTGGGGCCTGGAGGGTTAGGACACAGATGACGCCTGCCTGGGCCCCTAGCCTTGGCTGAGGTGCCTGAAACGGGGGGTGGGGGCTGGGTTACTGCTACCTACACCTGCTACCTACAGCCTGCTGGCTGCAGGACCGCTGCAGTCGGGCAGAGCCCCACCAGCCCTGCGACGACACTGAGTGAGTGGCCGGCTTTTGTGTCATTTGTGCCACAGAGCATTGATAGTAACACCTCTGTTAGGACAGCGAGCCATGGGGGCGCAGTACCCGGGAACCACATGTACACAGTGCAGCTGTAATGACACATATGTATGTAAAAGTATATAATTACATATTTATGTATGTATTTATATATAATTTGTATAATCATATATATAGTACAGATATAATTACATATATTTAAATATATACAATTATATATTTATTTATATGTATAATATACTTATATATAATTATACATATAGTGCAGATATAATTTTATAGTTATGTATGTAGTGCATATATATTTAAATATATAGTTACATATTGTATATTTATTTATGTTATTTATATAAATAAAAAAGTATAAATATATATTTATATTATTTATATAAATAAAAAGCATTAAGTAATTATATATATGACATACTTATATATAATTGTATATAGTGCAGACATAATAATATACATAGTGCAGATACAATACACCTGTATAGAATTGTATATATATATATATATATATATATATATATATATATAGTATAATAGCACAGATGCAATTGTGTCTATATCGTGCAGATGTAGTAATATTATAGTATAGATGTAATAATATAGTACAGGTATAATTATAGAGAGCAGATACAATACAGTGCAGATGTAATTGTGTATATATACGTATACATGATGCAGATGTAAGAATATTTATATGGTGCAGACATATATAGAATACCATACAGATACACTGTGATCATGGAATGTATATCAACATTCGTGTGTCTCTATATACTAACTACACAAAGTGGAGGTATGTGGTAATGACTTATCACTCTGTAGTAGCCACCTCACTGCTGGAACGAGGCTCAGGGAGCATCATGAGATAAAGCGCCTTCGTTATCTTTCACAGCTGCTCTCTCCCAAGTGCACAGAATGTTGGCATGAATGACAGCTTTGACAGTCATTCTCAAATGATAATAATCTTCAAAATTCCGTTCTGGTCACCGTGTCACATTCCCGAGGGCTGCCGCACCACAGTACCCCAGACCGGGTGGCTGGAAACAGAAACTCATTCTGTCGTGGTCCTAGAGGCTGGAAGTCTGAGATCAAGTCGTCAGCTGGGTTGGCTCTTGCTGGAGGCCGTGATGGAGAGTCTGTCCCAGGCTCTCGGGGCTTCTGGTGGCTGCTGGCAATCCCAGGCATCCCTTACTGCAATCTCCGCCTCTGTCGTTACATGGCCTTCTCTGTATGTCTCTGTCACCTCCTCTTCTTACAAGGATACCAGCCACTGGATTAGGGACAACCCTTCATCCAGGATGACTTCATCTTGGGATCCTCAAGTGATTCTACCTGCCAGGCCCTATTTCCAAATCAGGTCATATTCTGAGATTCTGTACATGAATCTGGAGAGAACACCATTCAACCCAACAGTCATTAAAATATCCCCAGCCAGTATCCAGGTGACACCTCTCCACAATTCTGTCCTATTTAAAGCTTCCCCCTTGCCTGGATGCCTGGGGCACTGGGGGGTGGGGGGTGGGGAGGCCTGACGAGCTGTTCTCTCACGTTCTTGGCGACGGTCCCCTGTGCCCACTGTAAGCGGCTGTGCCTCCTACTACTACTTCTCCTTGTGGGTGGGTGGTGTGAGGGGGGGTCTCTGTGAACTAGCCTGCCCTTGATGTAGGCTGTCATGGGTTGAACTGTGTCCCCGTTATGGTCTGAATATTTGTGTCCCTCTATAGAAAACTCGTATGTTGAAAATTGACCCCAATATGATTGCATTAGGAGGTGAGGCCTTTGAGAGAGAATCAGGTCATGAGGGTGAAGCCCACACTAACCCCATCAGTGCCCTAACAAGAGGGGCGCCAGAGAGCTCCCTTACCCCTCCTGCCCGGTGAGCACACAGTGAGAAGACGCTATGAACCAGAAAGCAGGTTCTCACCAGGCAGAGTCTGCAAGCGCCTTGATCTTTGACTTCCTGCCTTCCAGAACCATGAAAAATAAATGCCTGTTGTTTATACGATACCCAGTGTATCATATTTTGCTATAGCAGTCAAATGAACTAAGATACACCCCAAAATTCTTGTGTTGCAATCCTAACACGCAACAGCATAGAATGTGACTTGTTTGGAAACAGGGTCATTGCAGATGTAATCAGTTAACATGAGGTCAAGGTCATCTGCGTGGATCCTAACCCAGTATGACCAGTGTCTGTATGAAAACAGATGAGTTGGGCACAGACATGCACAGGCAGAACGCTGAGGGCAGAGACTGGGGTGATGCCCATGTAAGCCAAGAACTCCCGAAACTGCCAGCGAGTGGTCAGAAACTAGGAGAGAGGCACAGAACGGGTTCTCCATCACTGCCTCGGAAGGAGCCAACTGCGCCCACACGCTGGTCTCGTATTTATCTCCAGAACAGAGAGAACAAATGTCTGTTGTTCCAGCCGCTCAGTCTGGGGCACTTCGTCACGGTGGCCCCACTGACTGATACGCAGCTCATGCTCTTTTCTCGGCGTCCGCCTCTGAGCACGTATCTCCAGGCTCCTTCTGCTGGCTTCCAGCCCAAAGCCTTCAGGAGGCCGTCCCCGGGGCCCAATGTCCGTCCAGGGAAAGACCGTGTCCCGCAGCAGGTGGACGTGCAGTCTTCTCCCAGCCCCGCTGTCCACGCTGCCACCCTCGGCTACCACCCCTCCAGTAGATGAGTTTCAGTGGAATAAAGTCGAGTCATACACCCAGTTCTCCGAGAGTGTTTCTAGAATCTTCTCTCCCCCGGCTAGGGGGTGATGAACAACACATTGCATACCAACCCTCTCCAGAGAAAACCTTCTTCTCTTCTTTCTAGTGCTCAACCACTTCATCCCCTTGGGGGTGCAGGACAAAGGGAAACAAACTGGTGTGGGGTCAGCCCCTTTGGTAGCTGCACACAAGCGTTGGTGTCAGGGTGGTCTGGGGGAGGCTGCTGTGACATCTGACCCCCAAACCCCAACACATGCTTAACACAACACATACTTGTTTCTGGCCGGCGTGATGGGTCTGGCACTATGGCCCCTCCCTGACGTGAGTTTCCAGCATTTTTTGGTGGCAGGAGCATGGGGTCTGGTGAGCCACCACTGCCTCCTACACCTTCCTCCTGGGGTAACACACAACGGCCACTTCTCACGCTCCCCTGACCAAAGCCTACATAGTCTACTGCACGTAAATTTTACCTTAAAAAAAATCCACAAATAACATGGTACTCTAGTTAACGATTCACATGTTAAAAAGGTTTGAGGGTGAAATGGACGGACGGCTGCAGCTTGCTCTGAAATGCATCAGAAATAAGACAGAGTGATGGGTGGATACAGAGCAGTGGCCGGACAGAGATGTGGGACAAAGCAAATATGGTAAATGCTGGCGGTTGTGGAGCCCACGTGGTGAGTAAGAGGGCGTTGGCTCTACAGTCCTGTCACCTTTCGTGTACGCCTGACATTTTTCATAATCAAGTGTTGAGAGGGGGAAGGAAACATAAGAAAGTGAGCATGAACGGACTGGCATTGGCCATGTGACTTCACCTGAGGACTGGGGTTAATTCAACGCTCAGTACTTCAGGTCTGAAAAGGATACTCATCCCTGAAATTATTAAACTAATAAAATCATCTGCCACCCAATCTTGGTGACTGTTTGCAGCTACCCCCGGGCTGTGGACCATTCATCAGGATGGAGAAGTCCTTCTGAGGCTATCGAAGCACGGGGCAGGCCATGAGACTCCAATGACCATCCCTGAATTTTTTCGGGAGTCAGTCAGCCGATTTGGGGCTTACCCAGCCCTCGCAACAAAGAACAGTGAACAGTGGGAAACTCTGAATTTCAACCAGTACTACGAGGCCTGTCGGAAGGCTGCGAGAGCCTTGATCAAGGTAAATTCACTGATTCATTCATTCATTCATCATTCAGTCAGTCATTCATTCTACATATACATACACATGGTATAGAATGCATGTGGCATCACAAGATAGGAAGGTTAATGAGGGAGAATTTTCCCTTTAATCCCTGACTCATCCCTTATGGACACAGCCACCATTGCTGCTTTCTATAAATCCTTCTGGGGAATAAATTATATGTGTATATCATAAAATTTCTCTACATGCAAATTTTTACATACACAGGTGCCTACTGTGGGCATGATTCTGAATCTTGTTTTTGTTTTTTTTTAATCTCTACGTATTAGCTACTGCTGCGTAACAAATTACCCCCAAATTGAGTTTCGGAGTCTCTCATAGTTGTAGTCAAGCTGCCATCTAAAGGCTAGACCTGGGGCTGGAAGGGCCACTTGTAAGGTCACTTACATGGCTGGCCATTGGCAGGGAGCCTCGGTTCCTTGCTCCCTGGCCTTCTCCATGGGGTTGCTTGGGTGTCCCCTGATTATGGGAACCAGATTCCTCCAGAGTGAGTGATCTGAAAAAGCGTGAACAAGATGGGAACCGTGATATCTTCCATAACCTGATCTCAGTAGTGACACACAATCCCTTCTTCCACACCCTACTGGTCACACAGACCAGCGCTGATACAATGTGGGAGGGGATTATACAAGAACACGAACCCCAGGAGGAGACCATCTTGGAGGATGGCTGCCACACTCTCAGATCCTTCTATGTTGATTCACTACCCACCCCCCCAAAATAAACCCATACTCTTTCAACAAAGTATGCAAATATGTATGAAACGATATTGGCATAACCAGTCCCCTACTGGTGGGTGTTCACAGTGTCTCCATGCTTTGCCACCACATATAGAGGCACAGAAAAGCTTCTTTATACTATCCTTCTAGCGATAGTACCTCTGTGTGCCCACTCAGAGGGTGTGAGACAATCTGCTTACCTGTTATTCTTGCCAACATCACATTATAAAAAAATGTTCACATTGGCTACTTTGATAGGCATGTTAGGCAGAATTCTACAACCCCCCCCAAGATTCCCAACCCCTCGTATGTACAGACAGACTCCTCCCCTTGAGTATGGACAAAGCTTGTGACTATGATGAGATTTTCCTCTTGCGCTGGCAAAGGTGAAAAGATTTTACAAATGGAATTAGGTTCCCTGATCCGTTGGATTTGAGTTCATCAGAAAGATAAATGTTCTGGGTGGGTCTGACCTAATCAGGAAAACCATCAAAAGAAAGATCTTCCGCTGGCTTTGAGGAAGCAAAGTGCCATGTTGTAGACAGGGCCATGTGGCAGGGTATGGCAGACCTCTGGGAGAGCAGTCCCCAGCTGCCAGCTAGTGAGAAAACAGGATCTCAGTCATTTAACCCCAAGGAGATGAGTATTGCAAACAATGTACAAGTGTGGAAGATGATTCTCAAGCTTCCGAGGAGACACCGCAGTCCTCCCCAACCCCGATGCCTTAGTCAAGGAGATCCTTGGCAGAGGACCCACTTAAGCTGCGCCCAGATTCCTGAGCTATGGATGCTGAGATAATAAATATGTGTTGTTTGAAGTTGCTAAGTTTGTGGAGATGTGTGCCCCAACAGATAATGAATTCGATAGGTATCTCCTTCGTAAAAGGGAACGCCTGGCAATTTTGATTTATAGGAACTGCTATCACATCTGAACCCATATCTGGGTTCCCCTCACCCCTCCTCCGATACCCATGTGCTCTCACTGAGCAACTATGAGAGGCCACCACTGAGAACCATCTGCTAGCACTGAGCTTATACTGGCTGCCTCATGGCAGTGCTGTGTCAGCTCCCCTCTCCTGAAAGATGAGCCTCTTTAGCTGTGCCCTTAGATCTGGGGTTCAAAGATCCCTTCTCTCCTAATCCTCAGGGATCTGATAAGAAGTAAATCAGTTATCTACACGTTAATAGAGACTCTCTACCTACCGAGAAGAGCCTGTATGTTATTAAGCAGAAAGACTTGGCATCGTGTTTTTTTTAATTTAAAAAAACATTTTAATGTTTTTTATTTATTTCTGAGAGAGACCGCATGAGCAGGGGAGGGTCAGAGACAGAGGCAGACACAGAATCTGAAGCAGGCTCCAGGCTCTGAGCTGTCAGCATAGAACCCGATGTGGGGCTCGAACCCACGAACCGTGAGATCATGACCTGAGCCGAAGTCAGACGCTCAACCGACTGAGCCACCCAGGTGCCCTGGTGTCATGTTCTGAAGCATTAGCAGGCAAACGCTTTTCAAATGCTTACAATTTCCCCCAGAACAGTGGGTCATTGCCAGTCTTGGGCTTATATGACTAAAAGAACCCACAATAGGCGGCTCAGTCATGCATCGGCTCCGGTCATGATCTCACGGTTCATGGGTTCAAGCCCCACATTGAGCTCTGTGCTGACAGCTCAGAGCCTGGATCCTGCTTTGAATTCTGTGTCTCCTTCTCCCTCTGCCCCTCCTCTGCTTGCACTCTGTCTCTCCCTCTCTCTCAGAAATAAAGATTAAAAATAAGTAAGTAAATAGCCAAAACATGGAAAGAACCTAAGCATCCATCAACTGACAAATGGACCAAGAAGATGTGGTATATTATACAATGGAATACTACATGGCAATGAGAAAGAATGAATTCTGGCCATGTGTAGCAACATGGATGGACCTTGAGGGTGTTATGCTGAGCGAAATAAGTCAGGCAGAGGACAGATACCATATGTTTGCACATATAGGAGGGTTAGGAGGAAGTTAACAGAGGACCATGGGGGAGAAGAAGGGGAAAAATAGTTGAGAAGAGGGAGAGAGGCAAACCATGAGAGACTCTTGAATACTGAGAACAAACTGAGGACTGATGGGGGTGGGGGGGACAGAAAGGGGGGTGATGGGCATGGAGGAGGGCACTTGTGGGGATGAGCACTGGGTGTTATATGGAAACCAACTTGACAATAAACTATTTAAGAAAAAAAAATAAGTAAGTAAATAAAACGAAGTTAGCTTTCCAAAAACTCCATGGAGTCCCACTGGGAAAAGCCAGTGCTGAGCCTAAAATCTGGGGTGTGACAAACCTGGGCCCCCCTCAAGGAGGGAGAGGTTTCCTAGCTCATCCTCAAGCCCACTCAGATCAAGGTTACACTTTTAAAAGTGCAACTTATCACCACCACAGGCTATCATTCTGAGTACTTTTGTCATTACAAATAAAAATAAATTCACACCCATTAAGACGGCTATTAAAAAAAAAAAGAACAAAGTAACAGGTGTCAGTGAGGATGTGGAGAATGCAGCATCCTCGCGCAGGGCTGGTGGGAACATACAACGGAGCAGCCCTTACAGACGACAGTGGGGTGGTTCCTCAAAAAATTAAACCTGGACTTACATTCGACCGAACAATTCCCAAAAGAATTCAAGCAAGAGCTCAAGTAGATATCTGAACACAATGCTCACAACAGCCAAAACGTGGAGGCAATCAAGTGTCCGCTGGCGGGTGAATGGATAAGATACAATGCGGTCCATCTATAAATTATTGTTCAGTCTAAAAATGGAAGGACATTCTGCCACCTGCCACTTCATGTGGACGGACCTGGAGGACACTGTGCGCAGTGACAGAAGCCGGACACAGAGGACACGTCCTGTGTGACCCCACTCACAGGGGGTCCCCGAGGTGTCCCATTCACAGAGACAGAGAGTAGATGGTGGGAGCCGAGGGTGGGGCAGGGGGCGGGGAGTCTGTTTCATGGGGACAGAGTCTCAGTCTGGGGAGATGGAGATGGATGGGGGGGTGGCTGCACGACAGCGTGGGTGTGCTTGACGCCCTGAGCTGAGCACTAACACTTGGTTAGGATGTACATTCGCGCTATATATGACTTACCATAATAAAAAATAAATTCTACACAAACAAGAATAAATAAACGGGGCCTTATAGAGAGGGAGGCAAACCAGCCTCTCGAGAGTCACAAAAAGCTCACACCCCAGATTCTAGGCTCAGCCCTGGCTTCCCCACTGTGGCCACGTGGGCTGTGGAGTCTGCTCTCGCACATCCCAGGGAGCAGGTCCCACTTGGAAACAAAAGGTCTTTGTGTTTTGTGTCTGTTTGTCTGTTTTTTGCCTTCCCAGCTGGGCCTGCAGCGTTTCCACGGAGTTGGCATCCTGGGGTTTAACTCTGTCGAGTGGTTTATTGCTTCTCTTGGAGCCATCTTAGCAGGGTAAGACACGTCACCAACGGGTGTGGTTGACTCTGAATGAGGGCTCGCTCTGACCGAGAGGTGACTGGGAATTTCAGGTGCAACCCCAGGTTAGCAGGCAAGACAGACACACCAACCAACGTGACAAAGGACTAGCATCTTGGGTACATAAGGCGCTTCTATAACTGAGTAATAAATTTTTAATGTTTATTTTTCAGAGAGAGAGAGAGTGAGCGCTAGTGGGGGGGTGGGGGGAGGGAGACACAGAATCTGAAGCAGGCTCCAGGCCCTGAGCTGTCAGCACAGAGCCTGACGCGGGGCTCAAAACCACGAACCGTGAGATCATGACCTGAGCCAAGCCAAAGTTGGACGCTTAACCGACTGAGCTACCCAGGCGCCCCCGGGAAACGTACATTTTAAAAAACAGGATGGTCAAGGAGGGCACTTGTGGGGATGAGCACTGGGTGTTATATGGAAACCAACTTGACAATAAACTATTTGTAAAAAAAAAAAAAAAAAAAACCCAAAACCCAAAAAACCAGGATGGTCAAAAACAAGAACAAAAGGCAGTAAAATAGAGTGAACGGATGGGTGAGCAGGGGTCCGAATCTCACCTCTAGCATCTATTCCCTTGGAACCACCCTGAACAAGTGACCTCACCGCCCTGAGTCTCCATTTCTTCATCCATAAAACGAGGCACCACGACGGCTCCGTGATCTGCCATCACAATGAGGTTATAGGAGCTGCTGTTTTCATTACCCTCATTTTTGTTATTCTCATCATGGTTAACTCAAGGGAGCTAGGCTGGTACCAAGGCTGCAGACTCAGAACTTGCCTATAGACCCTTCCCTCCCCCCACCTTCCAGAACATTTTCACTTTGAGGCCGGGGGGGGGGGGCGGTGTGTGCACACACACGCACGCACACACCCACAGACACGTGTTCTTTCCCCAGGGGTCTCTGTGTTGGGATTTATTCCACCAACTCTGCGGATGCTTGTCAGTACGTCATCACTCACGCCAAAGTGAACATCCTGCTGGTTGAGAATGACCTACAGTTACAGAAAATCCTTTCGGTAAAACCGTGACCCAAGCGCTGTCTGCCACTCGCCCAAGGGGACCTTGGGGCTCTGACTACATGTCCTGTTGCTCCCAGGTGGATGCAAATGACAGGTGGGGTGGCGGGGCTGCCCCCTCGAGGGTCCACGAAGACTACTTTGGTGTAACCAGGGGGAGCAGGGTAAAGCCAAGGGAACCTAGTTTCTGATTCATACTTTTATTTCCTACTAAGCTTCTGTTTTCAAACTATGTTTATGTACATCCGATGCTTATTTTCTTTTAGAAGTGTAATTATTTTGAGGCTTATACCCCTTATATTTTTTACAACTGTCATCATTTCTGAAACGCTTGTCTTTCTCTTCAATTTCTTTCCAAAGTCCTACCACTTCCTGTTTCACCTCTTTCTGGTGTGGCTTTCTCTTCCCTCAGTGCTTGTATGTTTGCTTTGTGTTCTTCCTTCCCAGCTGCATCTACTTTGTTTCAATTTTTATGTTGGAATGCTGGGTGGCAATTTCCCTTTGCTTTGTGGTGACTTTTCTTTGTGTTCAAAATCTGGCTCCTCTCCCACTCCCTTTTTTCCCCCTTGTAGTATCTTTGTATGGATGTTGTAGAAAGTTTCTCAGTTACTAGTGTTTGAATGAGCTGCACTTCCCTGACCCACCTTTTGGCAGGAGGATCCTATGGGAAGGGAGTCTTCAGCAGGGTGAGCCTAGGTGACCAGATGCACCACTCAGCCCAAGGGCTCCCTGGCTGCCTGCATCAACCCCGTATTTCTGGACTACACACTTCTCTACTTTTTAATGTCTCTGAATTGAGAGATGGGTCTTACTGTCGGTGGCACCCTCCATATATCACCACCCATCACGTTTACCCACATTTTAACATCTCTGAAATTAGGGCAGACTTTCCAGACTCATGAAATCCAGCTGGACTTGGTCAAACAGACCACCCTGCAGCCAAGCCTCCTGGATGCCTAATTCCTCACCTGCTTCAGGGAGAACAGACTTCTCCGTCTAGCCTTGAGCTTTCTGAAAATGCTTGCTTTACTTTAAAAAAAAGTTTTTAATGTTTATTTATTTTTGAGAGAGAGAAAGGAGCATGAGCATGGGAGGGGCAGAGAGAGAGGGAGACACAGAATCGGAAGCAGCTCCAGGCTCTGAGCTGTCGGCACAAGAGCCCAACACGGGGTTCGAACTCATGGACCGTGAGATCATGACCTGAACAGAAGCAGGACATTTAGTCGACTGAGCCACCCAGTCAACCCTGAAATTACTTTCTTAAGTGATGCATCTGTGGTCTCTGATACTCATGTCATTCCGTTTTCTGTTCACAGCAGAAGAAACATTGGGGTGGCTGAAGAGTAGGGCTTACAATTTGGGTTTTTCCACCATTAGAAAATACCGCATGCCCTTCATATGCAAGATCCAAGGCCAGGCTTCTGACACGCTCCTCCTGAACTGGATGTTCAGTTCCACTTGGAAATCTTTGATTCTGGGCGATACGCGTGGCTTACAGCCCTCCAGCTCTGCGGTGCTTCCCTCCTTCCTTCAGAATGAACTCCAAATTCCTCGCCACCACCACCGCCTCCAAGACGTGGCCAGCCTGGCCCTCCCCTCCTTTCCTGCCTCCACCCTCAACCCTCTCCCTCCACCCCTGCAGCAGCCATCCCAGACTTTACATACTCCTCAAACATCCCAGCCGCTGCCTACACCATGCTTTCCAGATGTCTGTTCCCTTGCTCTCCGGACACCTCCTGTGTGACGGCCATCGGCGCTTCTGTCCTCTTTTCTCTCAATCCACGCGGGGGACTTGGCCATGATTGTAATTACCACACTGGGCGTTGGAAGTGACTTCTGTCATGTCACAGGGACACACCCCTTCCTCTGCATCAATAGGGCACAAGGACCCTGCAGGCCTGGTCTCCTGAACCCGAGCCCTAGGTGTTGGTAGAAAGTCCTCAGGTTTTCCAGGTCCCAGGCACCTTCACAGAGGATTTTTCTTGCCCAAGTCCAGCTAGAAGGTTAGCTGGATCCTGGCTGCACGGCGCAAGGGGCAGGCTCACCAACCAACAGCCACAGCTCTGTGTGTCCAGAGCCTGGGAGGCCATGGGCTTCGCAGGCCTTTAAGCACCAGGCGCCGCTGATACGACCCCAGGGGACTCAGCAGCCGGAGACCAGCATGGTCACAGCAGTGCTGGGACTCAGTGGGGACAGAGCTGTGGGGCAGGATAAAGAGGGGATGCTGGGGCCGCCAGGGGACACTGCCTGGGACGGGCACCCACCCTTCGTCTCCCTGGGGCCATGAAGCCCACATGAAACTCTCTTTCAGATTCCGCGGGCCAGGAGGGAGACGCTCAAAGCAATCATCCAGTACAAGCTGCCCATGGAGGAGAGCAGTGACGACCTGTACTCTGTGAGTGGGGTGGGGGGCGCTCACAAGGGAGGGGGAGGGCCCAGAGGGGGCTTTCTCCTTTCCTTCCTGGCACAGGGTTCAGGCGACAGGAAGATCTGTTCTGGTTATTCACTGCTGTGAAACAAATCTCCCCCCAAACTGATGGCTTAACATAACCATCTCCATTTTATTATCCATTTTTCTTTCAAGGCGTTTACGGTCATTGAAAAAAATACTGCCTCGTTGAAAATTGGGTGTGTGAAAGCTCATAGCATTGAGTTCCCCCCCCCACCGCCCCCATCATGAAGCTTTTTTTTTTAAAGTTATTAGTGAGTTTAAAAGTATTGCATTTAAAATACTACTTATGTTGATTACCAGAGGTTTGGCGTCTTTTGTTTTGTTCTGTCGTTTGCATCTCCTTAAACGTTGCCCTAGAGGCTAAGTCCCCAATCCTCCTTCGGGTCCAGCAGCCAGGCTCCTCTGCGCCTCCCCCTCTCTCCCCCTCTCTCTACCGGCTCTCCAAGCAGGATGACCTCAGGCTAGCCAGAGCAGGGGTGAGGTAAGCCGGGCCAGGGGGCCTGTGAGAAGGGCAAGACGAGCTGCTGTTAACGTCCAGGTGATCAGACCCTCAAACCCATGACTCGGATCAGAAGTCCTAAAACGTCACAGAGTTTATCTGGTTCGTGGAAGGCAGACAAAAGGTGCCAGTGCTTCTTTCTGGCCAACCAGAACCTCGGCTGCCTGTGCACCTTCCAGAGAACACTCACATGTCAAGACCAGAATGGTGACTGACTGAGGAAGAAAACTGATCAGAACCACAGACATTTCAGTGGTTAAGAGTGGCCGTCACAGGAGCAGTATCTGAGGTTTGCATACCTTAAAAAAAAAAAACAAACTCCTTTGTCAGCGGCAGCAGGATGAACAACACCCTGGACGCTCGGGGCAGAGAATTCTTTGTCGTGGGGCCAAACTGCGCTGTCAGCCACCGAGCAGCACCCGGGGCCTCTGCCCACTAGACGACCACGGCACCATCCCTGCGAGACCAGAAAGGCCCTGGATGGGGCCCGCGGTGGTGGGCCCGGCGTCACATCCTCACTCCCCTTCTGGGGGCCGCTGCGTGCCCTCCGTCTGGAATCCAGAGCCCCGCCCTCCTCCAGGGCCTTGCTGGGGCTCCCCGTCCTGGGTGACAGCTCAGCTGGCACAGCCCAGCCCACATCTGAAGGCAGGTAAGTGTGCAGCTCCAGGTCCCAACACCTTGGTTCGGAAGCCTGGTTCCTGTTTACCTGCTGGGTGACCTTCGTCGGCTCCCAGGGCTACATCCTGACTCACCCGGGTCCAGATGACTCATTCCTGCCCCAGCGCTTCCAGCAAAAGCCCTGACCTTCACTGTGATTGGACCAGCTGCCGTCACATGTCCAGACCCAGCAGCCGGGCTGGGAAGTAGAGGCGGCCAAGCAAACATTTTAGGGCTGTCTTAAGAGGCACCAGGCCGGGTGACCCCTCGTGGCGGGAATCTTGCTTTGGAGAAGCTGATGGTCACTGGCCTGACTGGGGGCCACCCCTGGCCTATTGCAGGTCACGCTCACATCCGGGGCCCCCATCCTGCCTGTCTTTTCTCTCCACAGTGGAATGATTTCATGGAACTTGGCAACAGCATCCCCGAGTCCCAGCTGGACCAGATCATAGACAGCCAGAGGGCCAATCAGTGCGCGGTGGTCATCTACACTTCTGGGACCATAGGCAGCCCCAAGGGGGTGATGCTTAGCCACGACAATGTAAGTGGGTCTCCGCCACCAGCAGCACCGAGCTCTGCGGCCCCCGGGGTCCCTGCATGCTGGGCCAGGTTCCCTCGGGCTTTTTCCACTCCTGACCCACAGACGCAGGGTGGCCTCGAGGGGTCTGGCACATGGTGGCTCCCCAACCAGTGAAGCAAGGAGAGTCATGTGATCACTTCCAAGAGGGCAGCCTAGCGCAGGGGCTGAAACCGAGGGCTTCAGAGCAGACTGCATTCAAATCCTGGCTCTTGATCGTGAGGCTTACCTCACGGCTCCAAGCCTCAGTTTGCACATCTGTAAAGTGGGTGTGGTGCTACAGTCCCCTCCGCGCGGGCTGTTTTGAAAACTGATTGAGCTCCTGTTTGGAGAGAGCTCAGGCCATGTTTGATAGTAAGATAAGTACGTGAAAGAGCAGGACACACATTCCGTGTTTCGGAAGCAAAGCGGAAGTTGCTGTTTCAGTTACTCGGGAAAGGCTGCGTCTTTGGAAAAGACATGTCTGGACGGAGCCACAAGCGACAGCAATTTAGACCATCGTCACAGGAGAATAAAGGCAGCGGATGCTGAAGGACGCCATTTATGTAAAACCCTCAGAAATGCAAACTTACCCACAGGGACAGAAAGCAGATCTGGGCTGCCTGGGCGGCGGGGCAGGGGGAGGGGATGAGGGAGGCGTCACAGAGGGGTGCGTGGAAACCCTCGGGGTGACGTCAGCATTCACCACCTTGATTTGGGGGATGGTTTCACCGGTGGAGACCAGTGTCAGGGGTGCCAGGCTGTCCCCTCTACACACGTGTACTGCCCGTGCCCCAGCTACCCGTCAACAGAGTGGCTTCACACAAAAAGGGGAGAAGCAGCGCGTGCACGCCAGGCACGGCCCGAGGGCCTTACGCTCTGAGCGCTCAGAGCGGCTCCTGCCAGTTCTCTAGGCGGACGCTCCCTTCTGCATGTGGGAAAACCGAAGTGCAGAGGCGGGGCCACGTGGCCGGGCCACACAGAGCAGCACGGTGGCGCCGGGCCTGGACCCGGCAGGCAGGCGGCCTTGCAGGACGCGCCCCCAGCCCTGCAGCTCCACGTGGCCGCCGTGTGAAACTGTCCACACGCGTGACGTAAACGCTGTTGAGCGCTGCAGCGCGGCAGGCAGGGCAAAGCGTGCTTCGTGCTGAAAGCTAAAAAACGTCTGCGAGCAAGGTGCACACGTGCACAGTTTTTAAAGCAGAAAAGCCCCCGACTGGCGATGGTGGGTCTCCGTCGGGAAGACCACCGGTGTTCACACGAGGCCTCCTCCCAGCCCAGGTGACCGGTTAGCAGACGCACCGGGCTCTGCACTGGCCGTGCCCTCTTGCTCGCTCTCGTTGCCGGAGAGCCCCACGGCTCGTAGCTTCACCTCCCTCGGGCCCTGCTCCCACGTGACCTCCTCCACAAAGCCCTCCCGGACTTCCGTGCTAAAAACAGCACACAAAAATAAACCACTCCGGTGGCTTCTAATCTGCCTCTGGCTCCTGTTCTTCTCACCCTGATTCCCGTGGACAGCAGCCCCGGGAGGACAGGTCTCTCCCATGTCACCACTGTGACCCCCATGCCGGGTGCACAGGGGGCCCTGATCCACGACTTTGGAATCTGTATAAAGGGATGAAAGGAATCTACTGAGACCCTGCCCCTACCCTGGCCGGTGTCTCTGCGCCTCGTGCCTTTGTGGCTGATGAGACGCCCTCTCCCCGTGACGGTGACCCGGGGCCTGCATCCTGGCGCTCCCACCTGCTGGCGGCGTGACCTGGGACAAGTTTCTCATCTTCTCTGGGCCTCAGTTTCCCTGTCTGTAAAAGGGAGGCCAGAACGGCTTCTGTCTCTCAGAGTTGCCTTACGGGGTGAATGATTTCAGACACCGTGTTGGGTACCTCAGGCCGATTTAAAACCCGAGCGGTGGATTTCTTCTGAGTCTGGAGCTCAGGCGGGGCTCGGCGGGGAGCTTCTTTAGTCCCAGGAAGTGTCGCTGGCGCTTCCTGCCCAAGCAGGGTGGCACTCCCCTGTGTCACATGGCCTGGGGTGTCGTGGCCCCGAGGGCGCGGGGCTTCTTCGCGTGGTGGCTGGTTCCCCCCGAGGAAGGAATCTCCTGGACAGACGCGGAGGCTCAATGTCCGAAGCCACACAGGGTCACTTCTGCTCCAATGTCTTGATCCAAACAGCCCTGTGAGGGGAGAGGAACACCTTCCAGCTCCGGATGGAGGTGCGGCAGGGAATGTGCAGCTGTCCTTGCCCGCCCTGCACATACAGGCGCACCGTGGGCCACTCCAGCCATGCCAACGCAGGACCCTGTTAGATTACGCCATCGTCGTCAGAGCAGCAAGCAAAGGCTAGCCCGGTGCAGCCACGCAGGCCAAAGCTCCGCCCGAGACCCTGCACCAAGCCCCTCCCCCACCCCCTTGCCCCAAGGGAAACGGTCACAAACCCCTTTCACAGATGGGGAAACCGAGGCTCGGAGAGGGGAAATGACGTGCTCAACGTCACTGAGGCAGGCTCTGAACCCAGGAGTCTCGACACCCCTGGCCTACATCATGGTCTACCCGGGCCAAGCTCCTTCCCTCAACAGATGTCACTGGTGCCTTGGAACACAGGCTGCTGGGAAAGAAGGAAACTCCCTCCGTCTGAGGCCATTCCGGTTTGGGTGGCATGAGATGGCCTCTCTGAGTTGGCGACATTTAAGCAGAAACATAACATTTGAGAAAGACTCAGTTGTGGGGAAAGCTGGAGGAAGAGCATTCCACGCAGCTGGAACAGCATGTTGAAAGGCCCTGAGGCAGCACCGTGCCTCACGCGCTGGAGGAACAGTGTGGAGGCCCGTGTGGCTTAATGAATGAGGGATTCTTTGCCAGGGATTTATGATGCCAGCGAGAAGTGCCGGCTGCAAAATTACAGACCTGCTGAAACTTCACATCAAGGCATGCAGTGGAGAAAGAAAAACATGAATATTGCTCACTGCTGCGTGTTTGTGTGATGGGATTACGCGAAGGCTGTTTGGTGTGTTGGACAGGAGAAGCCTCTGTGCCCATTTTACAGATGAGCAAAGAGCCCAGGGTCACCAAGCAAGCAAGCAAACAGCAGAGTCAGGATTTGATCCTGGGATGCTTACTGAATCCTTGAGATTTTTGACTCTCCATGTAGGTGTTCTGATTCCAGGGTGTGTTGTTGGGTCCAAGTGGCTCTTCTAGCCTCAGAGCTGCTCACTCCTAGCCTCGGGCGTCAGCTCACTGCTCCGTGCTTCTGTTTCCCCATCTGTAAAATATACAGAATCACGGTTACCGACCCCAGCATGTTAGGACTTCATGTGTACAAAGTAGGACAGCGGTGCCGAGCACACAGTAGGTGCTCTGTAAGTGTGTGTTAAATAACTGCATTTAAATGGCCCTCCAGCAAGTAAGCCCGACTTGTGTTCCAGATCACGTGGACCGCCGGGGCAGCGGCGAAGAACTGCGGCCTGTCCAACGCCGCGGAAAAGCAGGAGGTGGTGGTCAGCTACCTTCCCCTCAGCCACATCGCGGCTCAGATGATGGATGTCTGGATACCCATGAAGATTGGGGCTTACACCTACTTCGCTCAACCAGACGCGCTCAAGGTGAGGCTGAGGGCAGCCTGGGACGAGTGGGTGGTTCTGTTAAGCCCTCGATCCAGGGGTTCTTTCTCTATCTTATGCTCCAACGTAGAGGCAGTGGAAATGGCTGGCCCCGTTCTTTTAGTTTATGTCTTTATCCACGTCAGGGCATCCCCATATGGTTGTTCAGGTTGTACACTGAACCACCCAAAACTAAGATGTGACTGGTATTAAAAGGAGAACATATTGGGGGCGCCTGGGTGGCTCAGTCAGTTGAGCGTCTGACTTCGGCTCAGGTCATGGTCTCATGGCTCGTGGGTTCTGTGCTGACAGCTCAGAGCCTGGAGCCTGCTTTGGATTCTGTGTGTCCCTCTCTCTCTGTCCCTCCCCTGCTCACGCTGTCTCTTTCTCAAAAATAAATAAAACATTAAAAAAATTAAAATATTTTTAAAATTCAAAAATAAAAAGCAGATGTGTGTGCGCACACATGTGTGTTTTAAGTCAGCATTCCCAGCACCAAAAAGCTCCACACAACCAAATGCATCTCAAGGCCCTTTCCCACATCTACAGTCCCTTTTGCTGTGAAAGAGAACATCTTCACAGGTTCTGGGGTTAGGGTGTGACACATTCAGGGGACAGCGACTCTGCCTGGAGGCACTGAGCAGGCTAAGTCTTACAGCCTATGTGACTCCTTCTAGAAGATTCGTTCCCTCGTTGTTCACATGGCAGACTCCTCGTCATTTTGTTCTCCACTTCAGTATCTCCTCGGCCCCCCTCCCACACCCCTGTGCTCCGTGTTGGAGAACTTGTAGCCACACGATGATAAACACTTCCTTTTCTGGCTGATGGCTTCAAGATCCGAGCAGATCCAGTCCCTCTGCATCCTTATCAACTCCTAATACTTCAACAGTTTCCAAACCACCAGCCCCACGGGCGATAAAAGTATCTTAACATATTAAGAGACTGTCAGACTGTTTCCAAAGTGGCCACCCCATTGCATGCTCCCCCCAGGACGCCAGAGAGGCCACCGTGCTGCTGCTGTCCCTACCGCTGCCCGTTCTAGTGGCAGGAAGGTGGCATGTGCACTTCCCTGATGACTAACGGGGGGGCAAGGGGGTGAGTGCCGCCTCATGCACTTGGTGCCGGCTGTATACCTTCTTTGGGAGGAAAAAAGTGTGAATCTTTTGCTGGTTAAAATTTTTTTTTTATTCATTTTTATTTTTTTTATTATTTTTTAAAAATGTTTATTTATTTCTAGGAGAAAGAGAGAGAGACAGCGTGAGCAGGGGAGGGTCAGAGAGAGAGGGAGTCACAGACTCTGACACAGGCTCCAGGCTCTGAGCTGGCAGTCAGCACAGAGCCCGACGCGGGGCTCGAACCCACGAACCGTGAGATCATGACCTAAGCGAAAGTTGGACGCTTAACCAACTAAGCCACCCAGGCACCCCATTATTCATTTTTAAAAGAGAGAGCAGGAGGGGCAGAGAGAGAGGGAGAGACAGAATCCCAAGCAGGCTCTGCAATGCCAGCACAGAGCCTGACATGGGGCTTGAACTCATCAAGACCTGAGCTGAAACCAAGAGTCGGATGCTCAGCCGACGGACGCACGCAGACGCCCCTCTTTTGATCATTTAAAAATGTGGTTGGGGCGTCTGGGGGGGCTCCGTCAGTTAAGTGTCTGACTCTTGGTTTCGGCTCAGGTCATGATCTCATGGTTCATGTGGGTTCGAGCCCGACACCGGGCTCTGCAGTAACGGCACTGCGCCTGCTTGGGGTTCTCTCTCCCTCTCTGTCCCTCCCCTGCTCATGCTCTCTCTCTCTCTCAAAATAAATAAATAAAACTTAAAAAGAAATTTAAATTTTGGTTATGTATCTTCTTATGGTTGGATTCTAACCAAATACTGGTTTACAAGAACCTTCTCCCGGTGCTGTGTCTTCTCGCTTCTAGAAGTCGTTCCCTTCCCCTTTCATGACTGCGGTCCCTGGTGCCGTGTGCCGGAGACCCCTGCCTGCCCCAGGGCCACACAGGTTCCTGTCGCGTGTCCCCCAAAGCCTCTGCATCTTAGCTCTGACACTCAGGTCTGCACTCCGCTGTGAGTTCACTTCTCTGGTGAGAAGACACGAAGCTGAACGCTTTAATTTTTCAGGATAGGAATATCCTTCCTTCCCCTGAACTGCTCCTAAGTGTTCTGCGCCGTCGAACTGTGCATCCATCCTTATACTAGAGTCTTCTGGGCTTTCGGGCAGGCCCACCACCTTGCCCTGGTTTTCCTGGGACATTCCAGAAGCTCCTTCAGTTCTGAGCAAACCAGGACAGCCGATGACCCTATTTTATAATAAATTTCAAAATCAAATAGCGATTCTTCTGATTTTGTTCTTCTTTTCCAAAATTGCTTCGGTCGTCCTAGGTCCTCTGCATTTCCATGTAAATTTTCAAGGCTGGCTTGTCAACCTGTGTGGTAAGTCCTGCCTGGATTCTGACAGGGATTGCTCTGAATCCGTAGATCTATTTGGGAAAGAATCTTACATCCTTGTGAACAGTTGTGCAATATTCCACTGCCTGCTTGGTCAAGTATTGTTGTTTTTACCAGTCTGTGCTCTCCACCAAATCCCTAGAGAGAGTGTGAAATCTGAGTGGCTACCAGCCAGCCAATGGGTGGGCTCCCGTGGGTGGGGTGCTCACCCTGGGCCAATCAGCAAAGGTAAGGTACTCCTGGACTGAGCTGGATGGCTGGGGAGAGGGGACATGCAGGTTCCATGCAAGGTGCCCATGTGGCTGACTCAACTCTGTCTCTTGCAGGGCACCTTGATCAATACTCTGCAGGAGGTAAAGCCTACTGCCTTCCTGGGGGTGCCCCGAATTTGGGAGAAGATGCAGGAGACGATAAAGGAAACTGGTGCCAAATTCTCAAGCTTGAGGAAGAAGGTGTTTTCATGGGGAAGAGTTATTGGCTTAAAGATCAATACAAAAAGGATGCTGGGGTAGGTGCAGGGGCCAGCAGGGCCAGGCTGGGAGAGGGCAGTGGGTGAGGGGGCTCAGCCTTCTCCAGCTGGCCCCCCGTCAACTCCCATTTGGTTGCATGGCTGTTGGGCTGTTCTTAGAATTTTTTTTCGTCCTTGGCATTCTTAGTCACAGGACAAATGAAACTCCCATGAGCTACCGCATGGCGATGGCCCTCGTGTTCAGCAAAGTCAAGAGTGCCCTTGGCCTTGATCGCTGCCACTCTTTTATCAGCGGAGCCGCACCCCTCAACAAAGAGACCTCTGAATTCTTCCTAAGCCTGGACATACCTATAGGCGATATGTACGGTTTGAGTGAAAGCTCAGGACCCCACACCATACCCATTCAGGAGAGCTACAGGATTCGAAGGTACCAGACTCCTAGGCAGACGCCCAGCCCTCCAGCGACGTGGGGGTCCGGGGCTAAAGGTGGGAGGGCAGGCAAGCCACTGAGCTAAGATGAACCCTGGCCCAAGTGTCCAGAATGACCCCTGTTCTCCAGCCTCTAAGCCCTACGTGCTCATGACCATGGAAGCTCCCATTTGCCGGAGAGCCCAAAGACAGGGAGGGCTCTTGGAATGTTCCAGGGTCTCCCCAGCTGTCATTGGTGAGTGACAGCTCACCCAGGCTCCAGACAGCCCGCCCAGGCTCACCCAGCTCAGGTTCCCCTCCTGGGACCTCAGGACCCCTCGTCTCTGCCATGCTCCCTCTCCAACACGACCACGGGCCCTTCTCCCAAGCCCCGCGGGTCCCAGGCCGCAGGAGGGAACCCAAGGACGCTGAAACGGGAGGGACACCAAAGACGAGGTCTGTGTGGGTCTGCAAGTCACAGAAGCCCCCACCGTCTCTCCCTGACCCCCTCCCTGCAGTCATATCACAAGTCCAGCTTTGCTCTCGTGCTTGGCCAGGTTCCAACTGCCTCTGAACTTGGCAAAAAGCAAGCTCAATCTTCCTAATATGGCAAAACCATCTCTTGCCTTTTGCTTTTACCCTGGGGGGAGCTCTGCACCCCAACGTCCCCCCCCCAACTCCACAGCCCACCTGAGGCCTATCTTTGGCTGTAACCCACATGCCCACTACAGTTTTCCCAAAACTGAATGGGGGGTCCTTCCCTAAAGAGAAGGGACGCTTCCCTAACCCTGGAGGAAAGGTACAGGTCCCGGCCTCTGTCTTTAATAGCACTTTTCAATGAGGAATACAGGCCCACATCCCCAAACTCAGAAGGCATTAACTGACAAGGTGAAAAGCTCCCTCCCGCCCACCCCAGACCTCCAGTTCACGACGCGTGTATGTGAGTTTGGCATGGCCACCATAACAAAGTCCCACAAACTCACACAACAAAAAAACCATCTTCTTACAACTCTGGGGAACAGAGGTCCGAGGTCAAGGTGTGGGCAGGTTGGCTCGTTCTGAGGGTGACGGAGAACCTGGCCCAGGCCCTCCGCTGGCATCTGGGGGTGGGTGGGGGTGGGGGGTTGCTGGCCACCTCTGGCACTCCTGGGCTTATAGACGCATCACTTGGATCCCCTCCTCCGTCTTCACACGGTTCTCGCCATGTGCCTGTCTGAAGGAGACCCTTTCCATAAGGACACCAATCCTTCCATGAGGGTCGGAGGCCACCCTACTCCAGCAGGACCTCGTCTTAATTTAACTCGTTACACTGGCAGTGACCCTGTTTCCAAATACGGTCACACTGTGAGGTGCTGGGGGCTCACAGTGCAACACGTGGGGGGGGGGGTGATGGGCACGACTCAGCCCCTAACACCCTCGTGGGGGCAAGACCACCACAGCACTTCCATGGAGTTAAGCTGGCGAAGCAGTGATGGGACGGACATACTTCTATCCCAAACAAAAGCATTTTCCATGTGAAAATGAACACAAAACTCGTCTTCTCTGAACGGTCACTTGCTCTCTGGAGCTTGGGAACCATATGAAGTCAGATAAGCCAGTGTCCTTTGCTTTCTGGGTCCGTTACGGTATTCCAGCTTCCAGTCAGTCTGGACTCACACCCCCATGCTCAGGAATCCAGTGGATCTGGCCGGTGAGAGGTTCTCATCCAGGAGAGAACGTTCCGTGTCCGAGCAAACAGCTGCCGTCTTTAGCAGCGGCGTAATATCCACGGCGGGCACAGGCCATTGCTCACTCAACGGGTGCTTCTGGTGGTGGGACACTTAGGGCTCTTTCTCCATCCTCCTCGCCACCATCGATGCTGAAGCAAACGCTTTGCATACGCACCATATACTGTGCTAAGCCAACTGGTTAAAAAGAAAAAAAAAGGTATCTCAACACAACTTTTCATTTATATTCCTTTTGTTATGAGTGAGGTTGGAGAAAATAATCTTTTGCGTGTATTCAAAATTCACTTGTATTTCCTTTTTTTGGAACTCTCTGCGCCCATCGGGTCCTGGAGAGGGTGAGCCTAGGCTGCAGACCCCGCACTGACCTGGGCGGGTACCCTGGTCTCCGAGCGCTGACCGCCTCCCTCTGCCCCCCCGCCCCCGGCAGCTGAGGCAAGGTCATGGACGGATGCAGGAGCATACTACACCAACAGAACAAGGACAGCGTGGGGGAGATCTGCATCTGGGGCCGGCACGTCTTCATGGGCTACCTGGACATGGAAGACATGACCACCGAGGCCATTGATGATGAAGGCTGGCTGCACACCGGCGACCTGGGCTACGTCGACAACCAGGGCTTCCTCTACATCACTGGCCGCATCAAAGGTACCGGGGCTGCCCCTGCAGGCCCGCCAGCCCTGATCCCTGAAGGGCCCGACTCCCAGCCCCCCACCCTGCGTGGGGTAGGACCCACACAGCTGTACAGTGGACAAGCCCCCACCCCCGCAGAGGGCCATCCAGGATTTGGCCCCTGGAAGAATGGTCCTGGGGGAGACATCCGTGCTAGCTCTGAAATCTATGTAATTGTCACAGTTCAGTGAGGACGAGCAGAAATGCTGTAGAGCAGGGATAAGCCAGCTCTTCCTGTTAAGGGCCTAAGACTAAACTTTCTTCGGATCTGTGGGACGTACAGCTGTGGCACAGCTGCTCAACTCAGCCACTGTGGTTCACGCGCAGCCATGGGCAACATGCAGACACACAGACGTGGCCATGTGCCAATGCTAATGTCATATAATCCTCATGCATTGCAAATGTTATTATTCCTTGGGTTTCCTTCCCACCGTTTAAAAGTATAAAAACCAGGGCACCTGGGTGGCTCAGTTGGTTGAGCATCTGACTCTTGATTTCGACTCAGGTCATGATCCCAGCATCATGGATCTGAGCTCTGTGTCGGGCTCCATGCTCAGCATGGAGCCTGCTTAAGATTCCCTCCCTTTCTCTCTCTCTCTCTCTGTCCCTGTCTCCCAGTTGTGTTCACTTGTGCATGTTGTCTCTCAAAATAAAATAAATAGAACAAACTATTTTTAGCTCACGGCCAGACAAAAACATAGAAGGCTGGATTGGACTCAGCCTGTAGTTTGCTAACCTGTGATGTAGACCGAGCATCTGATAGTGAGCCTGACACAGGTAGTTAACTATTCAGTAAGGGGGCTATGTTAGCATCATTTCCATGATAAGCAACAGAAAACCCTTCTTATATAGGTTTGAGCGAAAAAATGGAAAAGTCCCAAAGGTCTCACTTCAGGCTTGGCTGGATCCAGGTGCCCGAAACAACATCACAAGGAATTGCATTATCCTTCCCTTCCTGAGCTGTCCTTGGTGTTGGGGCCCTTCCTGAAGAGGCTTTTCCCATTTGGTGACAAGATGGCCACCAACAGTCAAGGCTCGCCCTAACCAAGGGACAGCAAAAGTTTAGGTCTGACTCTCACTGGATCCCATTTCAAAATGAATCACTGTAGAGAACAGAACACACTGACTGGTCAGACCTGGTCACATGCTCATCATAGCAGTCTTGGCTCAAACCACAAGCATTCACCATGGAGAAGAGTCCCCTAAAGAAACGGCAGGGATGGCTGCCTGGAAGAGGAGTCACTGGCAGACACCACCACAGGTGTCCGTCACACAATCATATTATTACTACTGCTGTAGTGACCTTGGTACGGAGAGCTGAAGGAGCACAGGATTAAGACAGGTCTTGGGCGGGTGGGATGGGAGGCAGCCAGCATCCTTGGATGAAAGAGCAAGTAAGGAACGTAGATAGGGCAGGAGCAGCCCTTGGAGAATCTGAGTGGCTGGGGGAAGAGTGACACAGTTCTCTTAAGGCGGGCCCAAGTTAGGGATGCTACCTAAGGACTTAGGTTGTTTGGGGTGGTAGAAAATTCAGGAGACAGAGAGACCAGGCACAGCCAGGAACATTCTACTGTCTTCTAAGCAAGACATACCGGAGGGCCTGGGTCAGGGTGCAGAGGACCAAGAAACAGGCAAAGCATTAACACAGCACTGTCCAAGTGTTGTGTGCACAGGACTAGACATTTGCTGGGGGTTTTAAGGAGACAGGGGAAAAAGAGCAGAGTGAGGCTGGGTCTGTGGACTAGAGAAGGGCATGGTGGGAGTCCCGGCCACAGGCAGGGGTCCTCCTCTGCCTCTGGGGGTTTTCTTTTTTTTTTTTAATTTTTTAAAAATGTTTTATTTATTTCTAGGAGAGAGAGACAGAGAGAGAGAGAGAGAACAGGGGAGGGTTAGAGAGAGAGGGAGTCACAGACTCTGAAACAGGCTCCAGGCTCTGAGCTGGCAGCCAGCACAGAGCCCGACGCAGGGCTCAAACCCACGAACCGCGAAATCATGACCTACGCAAAAGTCGGATGATCAACTGACTAAGCCACTCAGGCGCCCCTGCCTCTGGGGTTTACTAAGGGGGTGGTCATCCGTGCCAGCATATGTCCCCTCTGGTCCTCGAGGGCACGAGCCTTTTGTCCTGTCACCGTTGAGCCCTCACCGAGCCACGTTTGTTCCAGAAATCCTCATCATGGCGGGCGGTGAGAATGTGGCCCCGATCCCCATCGAGAACCTGGTGAAGGAGAAGATCCCCATCATCAGTCATGCCATGCTGGTGGGGGATAAGGCAAACTTTCTGAGCATCCTGCTGACGCTGAAGGTAACGTGGGCTTACTGTCCCGCGGGGGTCTCTGCCCCACTTCCTGGTCAGCAGGGTGGCCAGGGACTGTGTGATCGCTGGGTGGGGTGACGAGGCTCTCCTGGGGCAGTGTCAGATGGATGGGATAACGGGACAGCCAATGGACGACCTAAGCATGGAGGCCCTCAACTTCTGCCGGAACCTGGGGAGCCACGTGTCCACCGTCTCTGAGATTCTGGAGCTGCGGGACCCCCTGGTCTACAAGGCCATCCAGGAGGGCATAGATGCCGTGAATAAGGAAGCCATCTCCAATGCACAGAGGATCCAGAAGTGGGCCATCCTGGATAAGGACTTTTCTATCCCCAGTGGAGAGCTGGGTGAGTAGCCTGGAGAGCAGGTGGCATCTGGCACTTGGAGGCTGGTCCCTTGCTAGTGTCCAGGGCCACACAGGCTCTAAGGAGACGTGCCCTTTGCAGGGGGTCAGAGGGTCCACCTCTAGCTCATTGGTGCCTAGCTCCCCCCCCACACACATACACAAAGTCCCTTCTCCCCAGGGCAGCATGTTTCCACTCTATAATAAAAGCCAAACTCATTATGACTCTTCATGACCTTTCTCCTATTGACCTCTCCCCTTTCACTTACTCTACACCAACTGCACAGGCCTCCCTGCTGTCCTCACAACTCCCCAGGCAAATCCTGTCTCAGGGCCTTTGCACCTGCTGTGCCCGCTGCCTGGAATGCCCTTCCCTCTCAATTCTTTGGCTCCTTCTCATTGTCCAGGTCTCACCTTACAGGTCACTTCCTCGGAACGGCCTTCTCTGGCCATCCTGACTACCGTGACTCACTGTCACCCCTCATAGGGCAGCCCTGTAGCACCCCATCACGCCTCCTACACTGCCTCCACTTTGCTCCCGTTAACACATCATAGTCTGAAGTTACCCTGTGTACTGGCTGATTCAGGTCTGTCTGCCCCCGCCCCCCCGCTCTCTCCAGGATGGGGGAGGGGGGGCTTGCTTCCTACCAGTGTCCTTTCTGGGGCCTGCTCTCAGCACTCAGCTATAATCTGATGGCATCGACGCAGAGAGTTAGAGTGAAAGCAAGCACGCAGCCTTGGACAACTTGGGTTTAAATCCTGTCCCCTCCAAGCCTTGGTCATTTTAACTACAAGTTGAAAATGCAGCCCTCATGGTGCTGCTCAGGACGGGGCCGGGGAAGCCTGAACCCCACAGTGACCCAGAGCCTGTGAGCAGCCTGGGCCGTGGATCAGACAACTCCGGAATTAATGTCTTGTCCCTGGGGGGCACATGCTGGGCGGCCTCAGAGCTCCTGGCCCTGAGACGGTTCCCTCACCTGGAAGAGGAGGGGGCGCACCCCTGTGCTGGGTGCCCGGTCCACATCAGGCAGAGCTCAGCAGGCTGTGTGCCCTCCAGCCCAGCGGCCTCGCCGCAGCCCACGGTGTGAGGGTTTGGCCCCGCACTGAGGGTGGAGGGGATGCACCCAGGAAGTCAATGGGAGAGCCAGCCCCGGCCTGCCCCCCGCCACGGGGACCCGGCTGCCCACACACGCACAGGACATGTGGACTTTTATTCCCCATGTAGGAACTGGTTTCTCCTTTCTCGATAGGTCCGACGACAAAGATTAGGAGACCTTTTGTGGTCCAAAAATACAAAAGGCTAATTGAAAGCTTCTACTACTGACTTCTCTGGTGGAGCTGCTCCCGGCTGTCCCCACGGTGAGACGGGCTGGGCTGGGCCTTGACCGAGCCCCACAGAGGTGGTCTCCCCCGTGTGGCAGGTGGGGCCGTGGGCGGGGCTCATGCACACACGCTTTCTGTGCCAGGGTCATGGCGGGTCCTGCACTCTCCTCCATGGCTGGCCGCCAACACTGTTAGGTGTTCTTCCTGACTTTTCTACCTTTGTCTCAAAGAAGGAGCAGAGCAATCTTCCCATCCAGCACCAGATCTTGTTGTTAAATGCCCAAATGTTTCACCGTAGCTCATCAGGAGGAGGCCTTTTGCTGGGAATGTTCATGGGGGGAGAGTGCTACGTGCCGGGAGCCCAAGGAGTGAGACACGGTGACCCATCGCAGACGGTAAGGGCTGGGATCTCGGAAACCTCCCGCCTCCCGACCCCACCCCTCTCCCCAAGCCTCACCCACAGGACCCCCCGCAGCACCAGGGGTCCGCATAGGTCTGGAGGAACCCAGCTGGATGCAACAGCAAAAGGACAGCAAGACACATTCTCAGTTGTCCTAAAAGCCACTGGTAATCTTTCCATGTTCAAATCACGGTCTTCAGATGCCCCGGCCAGCTCACCTGTAGCGGCCTGCTGGGGCTTCTGCAACCAAGTGCCCTGCAAAGTACCGGCTGGGTTGGCTGGTTCGAGGGCCGTCTCCTTGGCCCCTAGATGCCACCTGTGTCCACATTTCCCTTTTTCACAAGGACGCCCGTCCTCCTGGACCAGGGCCCGCCCTAATGACCTCATTTTAACTTGATCACCTCTGTGAAGACTCCATCCTCAAACACAGCCACATTCTGAGGCCCTGGGGGTTAGGGCTTCCACAGACGGAATCCGGACAGGGCGGGGGTGGAGGGAGGCACATGGGGTGGCCCATCACACCACCACATCCTTTTCTTTTTCTTCACTGTTAACTGGTTTCACTCCTCCACACCTTCATTTGCCAAAGTCTCGCGGGTGGGCCCAGTAGTTAAACAAATCACACGTATCATTCCACATCTTTTGTGAGACTTCCGATTGCACTTTGCAGTTGGGTAAAAAACCGTCTGACATTGACATATGGGGGCGGGAGAGATGGGCCCTCCACACCTGTGCTGACCAAGATGGTAGCCATCCAAACTGAGATGCGCCAGAAGCGCAAAGAGATACTGGGTTTTGACAGCTGGGTATGAACTATAGGATTTAAAATACCTCATTAATATTTTAAAATATTGAGTACATGTTGAATTGATACTATTTTAGAAATACTGGGTGACAAAAATATATTATGTACATTAATTTCACCTATTTTTTGCATGTGGCTACCAGAAAAATTTTATTTACAAACTTTAAAACTTTTTATTTTATTTATTTAAAACTTTTTAACGTCTATTTATTTTGAGAAAGAGGCATAGAGTAAGTAAGGGAGGGCCAGAGAGAAAAGGAGACACAGAATCTGAAAAAGGCTCCAGGCTCTGAGCTGTCAGCACAGAGCCTGACGCGGGTGCAAACTCACAAACTGCAAGATCATGACCTGAGCTGAAGTCAGATGCTTAACCAACTGAGGCACCCAGGCGCCCCTAAAATTTTGAATTACATAGATGGGTTACATGATATTTCTCCTGGACAGCACTGCTCTAAAGTTCACTGGAGAGAGATTCAATTGTTTTTCTAATTTATAAACTAATACATTCATTCAGGAATATTTTCATCCCATGGTAACCGTCGGGTCTCAGAGAATGAACACATCGATTTCAAGGCTCTCCAGGTAATAACTGACCTTTCCTCTCCCTCCAGGTTTTAACAGGAAGACCCCACTGTCACACAAGATCCACCACTCTGGGTAGGGGCATTCTCTCCCTGATTTCCTATGGGTCAGTCTCTTGATTATTCACCTGTTGAAGAGGTACCCCTCAGGGGCCTGCTGTGCCTTTGGCTGGATCATCACAGATCTCTGAATTCCTATGAACCTTCGAGGCATGACCCCAGGGAAGCTTATGGGGAGGTCTAAGAAGAATTTCACATCTTGTGAGTTCCAATTCGATTTTTTTTCTCTCCCCAGAGGACTGAGACATCAGAAAGAAAAGCCTTCACAAGTCTGGAGAAGTGGGTCCCCAAACAACTCACCTTCCTAGAAGTAACCTGGAAACAATTGCAATAAGTAGTGATAATAAAGCACGTCAGCATCCCAGGTCCTGACCTGGAGCCAGATTCAAACATTTCGTCCTTTGTTGAGAAGTTCAGACTCTGAAATCAGTTCCAGGTCCAAATCCTGGCTAGCTATGTGAGTCCAGCCTTCTGAGTCTGGAGGGGGTGGGACTCTGTAAAAACAGACCCCCCCACACCTCCCAGGAAGGTGAAGGTGAGGGTAGCATCTGAGACCCGAGAGCCCTCAAAACAGGCAAGCTGTTACCATCAAAGCACCATCAGTCCTGGTGAACAGCTGATTCTTTTTTTTTTTTTTTTTTTTACAAATAGTTTATTGTCAAATTAGTTTCCACATAACACTCAGTGCTCATCCCCAAAGTGCCCTCCTCCATGCCCATCCCCCCTCCCCCCACATCCATCAGTCCTCAGTTTTTGTCAGCATTCAAGAGTCTCTCATGGTTTGCCTCTCTCCCTTTCCCCCACCATTTCCGCCCTTCTTCTCCCCCTTGTTCCTCCGTCAAGTTCCTCCTAATCCTCCTATACGTGCAAAGATATGATATTTGTCCTTCTCTGTCTGACTTATTTCGCTCAGCATAACACCCTCAAGGTCCATCCATGTTGCTACACATGGCCAGATTTCATTGTTTCTCATTGCCATGTAGTATTCCATGGTATAGATAAACCACATCTTCTTGATCCATTCATCTGTTGATGGACACTTAGGCTCTTTCCATGTTTTAGCTATTGTGGAGAGTGCTGCTATGAACAATGGGGTACATCGAACAGCTGATTCTTGATGAATCCCATTTTGGGGGATGAGTTTCCCTGTTATCATAAGGCCCAAAATAAGAGCAACTTAACAGAGAGAGAATTTCAGGGGCACCTGGGGGGCTCAGTCAGTTAAGCCTCCGACTCAGTTTCATCTCTGGTCAGGAGCTCATGGTTCAGGAGTTGGAGCCCCACATCGAGCTCTGCACTGATGGTGTGGGGTCTACTTGGCATTCTCTTTCTCCCTCTCTCTCTGCCCCTCCCACACACTCTATCTCAAAATACATAAATAAAAACAAAAGGAAGTTCATTCTTCCATCCAAAAGTCCACGTACAGACAGATCAAAGCTGATCCAATAAATCCAGTGTTGGTCCCTGAAAGACCAGCAGAGAGGACACCTATCAGGCCAAGGGAGGCCAGCCTAATAGAACAGAAGGAGGAAAATGTCCAGTCTTTTAAGGTTCTAGATACCCAGAGGCAGCCCAAGGCCCCTTTTCTTTTTAAAATATGGGTATAAATAGATAGGAAATGCACGATGGCATTCTCCTTGCAAAAAAAATAACAATGCAAAGCACATAAGGGTAAAGTCATTTTTGGTGGCCTCCCTGATCCATCTGGTGGGTTTGGTTTTAATATGTAAGAACAGTCCATCTCCCTCTTGGGAAGACTCTGTATTTGCCAGTTTGCCTGCTCACTAAAACTTACCTGTAACCCCCAAATCAAAGCTGCCGGCACCTTTGTGGTCCTCTGTGGGCACGCGCAAAGCAGCAAAAACCCTGAAGGTCCTACGTTCACACTCTCAGCTGAGGTCAAAGACGGTGCTGCCTCGGCTTCTCGCTTGAGCCCATCATATAAACACACGTCCTTCTGGGGGTCTGTTTAGCATCATGTTTTTGCATTGCTGTTGGGTGATTTCACTGTTACAAGTGGCCCCCAAGTCTAGTGCTGAAAGGCTGGCTAGTATCCCTGAGGGAAAGAAGGCTGTGATGAGCCAGGGCGGGAAATGCAGGTGTTTGATAACCTTCACTCGGGCATGAATTACACTACTGTTGGCCAGGAGTTCAGTGCTAGTGAATCCACAATGTGTATTAGCTAAGCTGTCACTGGACAGAAAACACGTGTAAACAAGGTTAGGTAGCGACCGGCTGATAAAAATGCTGTGACAGAGGCTGCCGGGAACCTGACTCTATATTTCTCCCAAGAGCAATGGTTCAATATTTGCTACTTCAGTGTTCACAGCACCTTTATAAACATAACTACCACGAATAACAAGAATCTACTATATATATGTCACGTAGGAAAAAGATATGCGTGTGTGATAGAGATGGGGGGATTCATTTTTACACATAAAAATATATGAGACACGCGCTCTTCCAGGCAGGGGAAGGTTAGCACGGTGGTTGAGAATGTGAGGCGGGGGTAGATCAGCAGCTCCAGGGAGGAGCAGGGGGCAAGCTTAGAGGCCACGGGTGTGGAACGGAGGGGCACACAGACACAGCAGGCTGAGGAGAGGAATGGTGTGGTCAGGAGGCTGGATACACTGGACAAATAAATAAATAGATTTTTTAAAAACTGGAAGCCAAGTTTCTCATTGCCAGAGAAAAGACTTAGGAAAAGGCTACAAAGAATCATGAGGTATTATATTTGAAGTGGAGGTACTGTAAAAACTCATAGTTTTATTTTTTTAATATTTATTTACTTTGAGAGAGAGAGAGAGAGACAGACAGACAGAGAGAGCATGAGTGGGGGAGAAGCAGAGAGAGGGAGACACAGAATTGAAGCAGGCTCCAGGCTCCCAGCTGTCAGCACAGAGCACAACACGGGGCTCGAACTCACGAACCGTGAGATCCTGACCTGAGCTGATACGGAGTCAGATGCTTAACCAACTGAGCAGCCCACCCAGGCGCCCGTGAGGTATATTTTAAACAACTGGATGTGTAAGAAATTGAGTTTGCTACCATCTTTCCCTTCTGATAGCGTAGGGCGATCAACATAACTTCATATACCCTTGGGACCTAGAAAATCATCTTTTCCAAGTTAAAGACAAAGAAACTGGGGTTTGGCACCCGAGGGCTTTTGAGCTAGCAGGTCCCAAGCTGCTGTGAGGAAGTAAACAGCACAGGGCCAGTTCCACGGGGCCCCCCTCCGGCTCCTTTACATGACAGAAGCGTGGCCCAGTCTGGTCAAGAGGAAACCCGAGATGGGGTGCACTACAGAACGTAAGGCCCCAGCTCTTCAAGCCGGGGCAGGGATGAGAGACAGAGAGGGGTCTGAGAAGACGTGACACCAAAGTGCACATGACCCGGGACCAGAAAGGGCGGCCGTACTGGCTCACTTAGGAAAACACGCATGGGGGGGGGGGGAGGCGCCTGGGGGGCTCAGTTGGTTAAGCGTTCGACTTCGCCTCAGGTCATGATCTCACAGTTCGTAGGTTTGAGCCTTGCATCGGGCTCTGTGCTGACAGCTCAGAGCCTGGAGCCTGCTTCAGATTCTGTGTCTCCCTCTCTCTCTGCCCCTCCCCCACTTGTACTCTGTCTCTCTCTGTCTCTCAGAAATAAACATTAAAATAATTTTTTTTTTAATATCACACACCTAAATGTAAAAGCCAAAACTACAAAACAGGGGGGAAAAAAGGGAAAATCTCTGTGCCCTTGGATTCAGTAAAGATTTCTTAGATATGATACTAAAGCACAAAACATAAATTAAAAGAAATGACAAAACTGGACTTCACCAAAATTAAAAACTTTTGTCCTTCAAAAGATACTGTCAAGTAAACCTTAACTTTGAAAGTGAAAAGGCAAATGTATTTTAGAATCATGGATCTGCTAGAGGTGTCTGGGTGGCTCAGTCAGTTAAGTGCCCGACTTTCGATTTCGGCTCAGGTCATGATCTCACAGTCATGAGATGGAGCCCCATGTCAGGCTCTATGTGCTGGGCATAGAGCCTGCTTAGGATTCTCTCTCTCTCTCTCTCTCTCTCTCTCTCTCTCTCTCCTCTTCCTCCTCCTCCTCCTTTGCCCCTCCCCTGCTCTCTCTCTCTCAAAAATTAAAAAAAAATTAAAAAGAATCATGTATCAGTTTAAGGACTTGTAGCCACAATATGTAAAGAACACTACAACTCAACAATAAAAAAGCAAATGACTCAATTTAAGGATTTGGTGGGACCTCTCACTAAAGACAGACAAGTGGCCACTAAGTATGTGAAAAGATCCTCAACGTCATTAATCATCAGGGATATGTAGTCAGAACTACAACTCAATAGCCCTTTACACCCACCACAATGGCTAAAAATTAAAAATCTGATAATACTCAGTGTTGGCAAGAATGTGGAGAAACTGGAACCCATATACATTGCTGGTGGGAATCCAAAATAGCACTGCGACTTTGGAAAGCTAATTTAGAAGTTTCTTCAAGTGTTAAACAAGGAGTTACTATATGACCCAGCAATTCAGCTCCCACATATATAGGATGCCACGGGGAAATGGCACAAGAACTTGTTGTATACCGATGTTTGTAGCAGCATTACGCATAACCATCAAATGCTGGGAGAAAATCCAAACGGGCAAAATTCATCGATCCATCAACCAATGAATCGCTACACAAAACACAGTACATCCAACTCACGGAAAGCCACACAACCACAAAAGTGCTCCAACAATAACACGTGCAGATGAACGTGCGCTAAGTGGAAGGCGTCGGACACAAGAGGCCACATGTGTTACTCTGTTTATATGACATTTCTGATAAAGGCAAAGCTACGGAGACAGAGCACAGGTCAACACAGAGCGCGGGTCAGCAGTCGCCCGAGGCTGCGGTGAGCAGTGTGACCGATCTCACACGAGGGACCTTTTCAGGGTAACAAAGCATCCAAAAATTAGAATATGGTGACAGCTTCACAACTGTACAGCTTTATTGAAAATCACTGTACTGTAATCTTACAATAAGTGGATTTTATGGTTTGCAAATGCCATGCCCAGAAGCCTGGTGGGGGGTGGGGAGGCGAGGATCGCTCATCAGGCTGGAAGACCCCTGGTCCAGAAGGCTCCCTAACCTACGGCAGCAGTCGGCGGAATCACAGTGCCCTTGCTGCCATCAGGAGGCCGGTCTGTGCCCCCCGAAGCTGCTGGTTCGGGGGGGCTGCTGGCCAAGGCAGAAAGCCAGGCGCCCACCGTTGGCCCCAGAACCATGTCGTTTCAGCCAAAAGGTACCCTGGCTCTGCCCCTCACGTGACTCACTTCCAAATCAGTCACCCCAGCAGCCACCTTCCTGTTTTCTGTCTCCATGAATCTGACTTAAGTTCCTCTTACGAGTGGGATCTGCTTATTTCACTGAGCATAACGTCTTGAGGGTTTGTCCACGCTGTAGCAGGTCAGAAATGTCCTCCCTTTTCTAAGGCAGTAATACTCCGCTGCGTGCACGGACCACAACTTCCCCTTCAGCTGCCAACGGACGATGATGGGTTTCTCTGAACTACTGTGAATCGTGCTGCTCTGAATGGGAGTGTGCAAAATCTCTCCTAGTGCCTGCTCCCAATTCTAGGTATATCCCTGGAAACAGGGTTGGGGGGGGGTCCCCCGGTAATGCGATATTTAATGTTTTGAGGGGCTGAAGAGGCCTTTAAATGACTTGTTTGCTTATTCGCTTATCAACCTCAACAGCGTCCAACAACCTGTGGAAATGCATCTGTCTACACGTCCGGGAGACTATTTCATCTCCAGGCCGTGCCTAGCGAGTCAAAGTCCTTCTTGACCTTTTGGGGGACCCAGGGCATGCCGACTTTGCCTGGGTCTTTGACACCCTCGCGTCCTTAGCCTCCGTCCGGCGTGCCTTCCAGGCCGTCTCCTCCACCTCACTGCTCCCTTCCAGGCTCCCTCGTGAACACGTTCCCTCCAAGCTAACAGAGCCGGGCAGGGACTATGAAGTCCCTCCCGCTGCCAGACTGAAACCTAGGACTTTGGGTCCCTGGAGGCTGCCACCTTGGGAGCCACAGGCCGCAAGGGCAGATGGCAAAGGGCCTTCTTGGGCAGACCCCAGACCCCCAAGACGGGCTTCTGCAAAGCAGAAACAGGCCACATCGCCACCGAGGAGCCTGGCTACGGAACCCACAGTGATGTCACAAAAGCTGGCCGTGGGCAGGAACATTCCAGACGTCCCGTAGAGACCTCTGTGTCCCCCTGTGGCTACAGCAGGAGACGGGGTGACCACGACTGACAAAAACAAGCAGGACACAGAAGCAGGCACTGCCTCCCAGACCACAGCGAAGGGTGAAAATGTGTGGGGGTGGAACGGCAGGGGTGGAGGCTGAGATGTCTGCATGCTGGGGTGGGGGGTGGGCACAGAAAGTACCAGAAAGCAATTTTTTAGTAACACCGCCAACAAGACCCCTCTGCCCTCACCATCTGTCTTACTTCATTTCCTTCCCCGGTCCCCACTTTTCCTTATACTCTTTTCCTAGTACTTCATTCATCACACCGCCCTCTTCTGGTTCCTTCTCCCTCTCTTACTCATGCTCACCGTTTAGAGTAGCCTTGTCCAGGGGCGCCTGGGTGGCTTAGTCGGTTAAGCGTGACTTTCGCTTAGGTCATGATCTCGCGGTTCGTGGGTTCGAGCCCCGCGTCGGGCTCTGTGCTGACTGCCAGCTCGGAGCCTGGAGCCCGTTTCAGAGTCTGTCACTCCCTCTCTCTCTGACCCTCCCCTGCTCATGCTGTCTCTCTCTCTCTCTCTCCTAGAAATAAATAAAACATTAAAAAAAAGAACAATTTTAGAGTAGGCTTGTCCAGTCACCCCCATGACCAGGTGGGACCCCTGTGCGTCCACACAGCTGGACGCCCTCCAACGAACTGTAACTGTGTTTATAAACGTGTATCTGTCCAGTCCTAGGAGACCAGATGCCTCCCCGACAGTAAAGAGAGAGGCTGAGGGCACCATGGGCACCATGTCCTCGAAAAAGCTGACTCCAAAGGACAAAGATCACCGACCGGAAATTAAAGCCAGAGGTAGGGGACTCCCCGGGCCCTGGGTGTGGCTGCCTAGAAAAGGCGGGGGTTTTTCCAGAGAAGCCGGCTGGGTGGCTGGGAGTAGGGGAGGGAGGCTGTGGACCAAGGCGGATGCAGTTCGTCACAGGCGCCTGGTCCTTGGGAAGTCCCCACCAAGGTGGCGCATCTGTCTGGCCACCCGTCCCTGCACCCCTTTTCTGCGTCTCCCCACTCGCCTTCCTCCCTTGGCGGCCGCCCTGCCTCTAGCCCCCGACTCTTCCCCAACTTCCCCGCCGCCTTCAGAGCCCCAGCCCTGCCCCCTCCACCTACCTGGGGGTCCCTGCCCCTGAGTCGCGCCTGCCCACAGGCCACCGCTACTGGACATCAAAGCGCGACGGCGAGGTGCAGCTGCGGCAGGAGGACGCCTTCGCCAGCCAGCCGCCCGTCACCGTGCACGACATGGTCATGAACACGGCCATCAGGTACGCCAACTACATCGCGCTCGGCTCCAAGCACAGGAACGGCTGGCACCTCCTCACCTACATAGAGTACTACGAGGAGTGCCGGCGCGCCGCCAAGGCCTTCCTCAAGGTACCACGTGCCCGCCCGCGCCTGCGCGCCCCGCCGCCCGCGCACGCGCGCTTGCGCACTGCTGCGCCCGCGCCACTGCGCCTGCGCGCCCCTGCGCGCCCTGTTCTTCGCCCCACCTGGCGTGGCCTGCGCGCGCATCCTTTCCCCTGGCTGTGCGCTTACTTGCACGTTCTTGCTCAAATCACTTAACCTCCGTCATCAAGAGCTGGATCACTCGATGCCTGTGACTTCTTTTGGTTAAAAAATTTCTTCGGCTACGCTTGTGGCGGGCATAGCATCAGGTGTAGCCTTGCGCAATCACTGCGTCGTGCACGTGAAGCTAATGTAACATTACGTGTCAGCTGTATTTCAGTGAACATTCTTTTAAGTTACTCGAGGTGCCTGGGTGGCTCAGACAGTTAAGCGTCCAACTTCGGCTCAGGGCGTGATCTCACGGTTCGTGGGTTCGAGCCCCACGTTGGGCTCTGTGCTGACAGCTCAGAGCCTGGAGTCTGCTTCGGATTCTGTGTCTCCCTCTCTCTCTGACCCTCCTCTGATCGCACTGTCTCTCTCTCTCTCTCTCTCTCTCTCTCAGAAATAAAAAAAAGCTTTAACTTACTTAAGTTATTATTTAACTTATTTAAAAAAAGTTTTTTTTTATTTCTGAGAGAGAGAGAGAGAGAGCGTGAGCAGGGGAGGGTCAGAGAGAGAGGGAGTCACAGACACTGAAACAGGCTCCAGGCTCTGAGCTGGCAGACAGCACAGAGCCCGACGCGGGGCTCGAACCCACGAACCGCGAGATCATGACCTAAGCGAAAGTCGGGCGCTTAACCGACTAAGCCACCCAGGCGCCCCGAAAAAAAACTTTTTAAAATATAAAATAAATTACTCATCCTCATCATCCTCTACTTTCATAGTTTTATAGATGTACAATATTAAAAACATGAAAGTGATATACAGCCATAGCCATTTTTATTAAATTTAGTATAAAATGTTCTGTTATATTAGGATTGTATGTACAAATACATAAAATAAAACCATAGCACCTGGCACAAAGGTTTGCTACAAGAATTCAGTGAGTTTACACATATCAGGTAGCTCCTGGTTCACGCAAAGCATTACTCAGCGTTTAATAGTATGGCTGTTATTGTTAACGTGTCTCTCTTCTCCAATGTCTCACATTGTGAGCAAGGTCATCCCTGATCACCCTGGGTCCCCAAGCTCACCCCCCACACACACACACTGCTCTCTATCACAGCTCCTTCGAAAATCTTTTGCCCGGCTCTCATGGCCATCTGGTAGGATAGTTGTATAATTTATTTGTTTAGTTGGCCAATTCCTGAGGGCAAGGGCGAGCCTGCCTCATTCGTCACAGGCCCCCAGAATCTCGAATAGAACCAGCCCCTTGGGTATGTCTTCAATGAATGAGTGCCCATTTATCAGATTAGGAGAGGGTATAAGAGACCTCAAGGGACTTCTCTAGTCAGTGTAATAAACGAGTATGTGTGGAGTAGACAGTGATCCAAAGAAAACTAAAGCAGGGAAGGGGGTAGATGAGCTAGGGGTGGGGGTGGAAATTTTAACATATGCTGGCCAGTGGGAGCCTCTCTGAGAGTGATAATTCAACAAAGACTTAAACAACTTGGTGGGGAGTGGGAAGCCAAGTGAGTATTTGGGGATGAGTGTGACAGGCAGTGGGAACAAATGTGCAAAGGCCCTGGCGCAGGACCGTGCCATGCATCTTGGTTGAACGGCAAAGAGGCCCATATAGCTGAAGCAGAATGAGTGGACCCCAGACAGATTGGGTGTCTAATAAAGTAGAGGGGAAAAAGGATCTTACTTAAATATCAATCAGTAAAGGGGGGGGCTGTCACTAAATTGTGACATTTCTCTACTATACAATATCATAGAGGTGTTATATTTGATACCATAGAGAAATATTTGAAGATTGGGGAAATAAGATGTATGGTTTTATGAACAATGGTGGGTTATGATAATATAGGCATAGTGCTGCCCAGATTTTGTCAGATATGTATTCATAAAAATGTTGGGGGGGCATTTTGTTTGTATTTTCAATCTCGGTGCTATCACCATTTGGGGCTGGATCATTCTTTTGTGGAGGGGTCTGTCCTGTGAGTTAGATGATGTTTCTCAGCATCCCTGGTGCCCACCCACTCCATGCCAGCACCATCCCCTTCCCCAAAAGTGTCTCCAGATGTTGCCCGATGTCACCTGGGAAGGCAGAATCATCCCTGTTGAGAACCACTGCTCTAGATGAATATATGGTAGCTCGTAATGTGGGGATGGGTTATTTTGTCAGCAAACAGAAGCACAAATGGTCAACAGAGAAAAGGGAGTCCAAGGTTCTCAGCCTGAGGCTTCTGGGCAGGTGGGGACAAGTGTCAGGTGAGCCCACCTGTGCCTCACAAGGGCCTCCTTTCCCAGCTGGGCCTGCAGCGCTTCCACAGCGTGGGGATCATGGGGTTAAACTCCGAGGAGTGGGTCATCGCCAGCATCGGTGCTATCATGGCTGGGTAAGAGGTACCTGGTATCGCCCTGGGATGCACAGGGTCAGGAAGCCATCAGCCCAGTGAAGGCTCTTTCCCCCGCTCTTGAATCCGTGGGGGTCTCATGGAAGAGTCCCCAGTTCAGGGAGTAGACTAAGCCTCCTGCTTGGTCCGTGCTCAATGGGATTGGTCAAGGGCTCGGCCCTGGGCACTAGCCAGCTCACCCTTCCTGACATTCTCTTCCTGTCAAAAACACATCCTGTGAAGCCCACCTCATGACCCCTCCTCAAAGAAGCCTTCCCCACTCCCCACAGCTCCCCAAACATTGAGCCCTCCCTCTAACTGTCCAGCCCGTTGGGGAAACCCTGGGAGGCAGGATCCAAGCCCAGGCTATTTCAGAGTCCCACCTTCAAACAAGGCATATTGGGGGTGTCAGGGGGTGTCTGCCACACTCCATGCCCCATCCATGGGACTGTCTCCCCTTGGGCACAACCCACCTCCTAGGAGCCCTCCAATTCACCAGAGGATCCTCACCTCTTGGGTTCTGCTTCCAGAGGCTTCTCTGTTGGCATCTTGTCCACCAACTCCCCCAAAACCTGCCAGGGGATCGCCGAAAGCTCGGAGATGGACATCATTGTGGTGGATAATGACAGGCAGTTGCAGAAAATCATCCAGGTTAGTGACTCATGCAAAAGCACGCACTTTGCCTAATAAAGAGAAGGCGCCAGTGAGCGATGGACCCGCCATCCTGTCGTCTCTCACGAGATGAGACTGTGGACTCCGTGGATGGACGGGTGCGGGGCCCCTACAAGTGCCCAGTGCTGGCTTCGGGGCTGACTCCCAGCACACCCCCAATTGGGGCTTAGATCTGCCCACCACAAGCAGAGCCTCTCCTCCAGCTTAAAAAAAATTATTATGGTAAAATGCACCCGATGTACAATTTCCCATCTTAACCCTTTTTAGTGTACAATCCAGGGGCATTCAGTACATTCATAGTGTTGCGCAACATGACCTCTGTCTGGTTCCAGACCATTCCATCACCTGAAAAGGAAACCCTGTGCCTACTGGTGGGGACTCCTCACTCCCCTGGCCCCCACTTTCTGTCTCTGTTGGTTGGCCTGTTCTGGATGTTTCATTTCATCTTAATGGGATTGTACAGCAGATCTTATTTGGGGGGAAACCCTGAATTTCCTTGGGTCCACGGATGATCCAAGTGAGGCGCTTCTGGGCGTGGGCTCAGTGGTTCAAAGGTCACCTTCACTATGACTCTGGGACCTGGGGCGAGGTGCTTGGCCTCCTGGTGTCTCAGTTTCCTCACCTGTAAAATGGGAGTGGTAACTGGACCTACCTCATGGGTCTCGTTCTAAGGATGAACTGAATAAACGTGAAACGGGCTAGGACAGAGCTTAGCATGGTCAGTGTCCGATGCTAACGCTATTGTCAATAGGATCATCGATGGGATTGTCATTCCTATTTGATCTTTGCTCTTAGGAGGGAATGGGGAGAAATCCATGGGCATATGGGGCACCCAGAGGTGGACATCGGGGTTACGCCCACCCATGCTGGGCCACCCAGGCTCCAGGTCTTCTCCTGTCACATAACCCTGTGCTCTAAGGAGCCAGTAATGGTCCTACAGCTGAAACCTCTATGCCAATCCCTGTCTGTCCTGGAGCCTGAGCAGCTCCCTGTGAAATGGGGACCCTAAGAGGCCCCGTGACAAGTGGACAGAGGCAAATGGGCAAAGACGACCACCATGAAACACCCACTAGGGTGACTCAAAAAATTTTTAACGTTTATTTATTTTTGAGAGAGAGAGGGAGTGAGTGTGTGTGTGTGTGTGTGCGCGCGCGTGCATGTGTGTGTGAGCGGAGGAGGGGCAGAGAGAGAGGGAGACACAGAATCTGAAACAGGCTCCAGGCTCCGAGCTGTCAGCACAGAGCCCGACACGGGGCTCGAACCCACAAACTGTGAGATCATGACCTGAGCCGAAGTCAAAAACTCAACCAACTGAGCCCCCAGGTGCCCCCGGACGACTCACATCTTAAAACGGACAATACCGAGTGCTGATGGGGACGCAGAGCACCCTTCACTGCTGGCAGAAACGCAAGATGGGACAACCACCTTGGGAAGCGGTTGGACACTTCCGTGTCAGGTTAAATAAGCACCTGCTATGTGGTGGCGCCCTTCCACCCCTGCATATGTACCCAAGAGAAATGAGAACCTGAGTCTCCACTGCATGTCAGTGTCTGTGGCTGTTCTATCCATGGTCGCCAGAAACTGGAAACAGCCGGTGAACCGGGATCCAGCTGTGTCTCTGCAACTTGGATGAGCAAACAGTGATCCGTTCACACCACCAGACATCGCAACCCCTGGTCTCCTGATGTGTGAAATCACATGGCTGCAGCTCAGACGTGCTGAGCCAGAGGGAAGGCTATGCTCTGTGTGATTTGCGTACATAGGAAACCCCATAGAAAGCAAAGCTACGGAACCAAAATCTAGGTCAGGGGCTGGCAGGTTGAAAGGAGGAAAATTAACCAAAAGGGCGCCTCAGGAAACTTTACGTGGTGATGTAAACATTCTACAGCTTGGTTAAGGTGATGGCCACACCACTATAAGTTCGTCAAGAGTCCTGAAACTGTGCGCCTAGAAAGGTGGCTTGTGCTGCGTGGAAATTATTCCTCAATGAATTCCATCTCTGTTGGCGAGCAAGAAGGTGGAAGGGTGGAGCCGCTGTAGAACACAACACGAAGTTTCCTCAAAACTTTAGAGTTACCAACAATCTCACTTCTGGGTGCAGATCCAAAAGAAGTGAAGGAAAGATCTTGAAGATATTGGTTGTTGTTGTTGTTGTTAATTTTGTGTGAGAGAGAGAGAGCGGGGAAAGGGCAGAGAATGAGGGAGAGAGAATCCCAAGACGTCAGCACAGAGCCCGACGTGTGGCTCGAACCCACAAACTGTGAGATCATGACCTGAGCCAAAATCAAGAGTCAGGTGCTTAACCGACTGAGCTGCCCAGGGGCCCCCGAAGATATTATTTGCACACTCAAGTGCACAGCAGTAGTATGCACAATAGTCAAAATGTGGAAATAACCCAAATGTCCATTGACGGACAATGTGGTCCATCCAAGCCTTAGGAAGGAAGGACATTCCTTTTTAAAAAATGTTTATTTATTTATTACAAAAATTTTTTAACGTTTATTTATTTTTGAGAGAGAGAGAGAGAGAGAGAGATTGAGAGCTGGGGAGGGGCAGATAGAGAGAGGGAGACACAGAATCTGAAGCAGGCTCTAGGCTCTGAGCTGTCAGCACAGAGCCTGACACGGGGCTCGAACTCACGAACTGTGAGATCGTGACCCGAGCCAAAGTCGGACACTTAACTGACTGAGCCACCCAAGAGCCCCAGGAAGGGACATTCCTACATCTGCTACAACATGGATGGACCTTGAAGATATTGTGGGTAGTGACAGAAGCCAGACAGTGAAGGACACATCCAGCGTGACCCCACTCACAGTCCCTAGAGGTGTCCCGTCCACAGAGACAGAAAATAGATGGTGGGAGCCAGGTCTGGGGCAGGGGGTGAGAAATCAGTGCTTCCTGGGGACAGAGTCTCAGTCTGGGGAGATGAGAAAGTTCTAGAGTTCTGTTTCCATGAATGCAAAATACAGTTAACACTACCAACTACATGCTTAAAAATAGTTAAGATGTTAAACTTTGTTGTGTATTATTCTTACCTCACTTCTAATTTTTTATGCTTATTAAATAAATGAATAAACCCAAGACAGGGTCAGTGCAGGCGACAAGGTATGTGGCCTGGGTCATTCCCTACCTGGAAGGCGAGCCGCCTGCCAACGTGGGGTCGCAAACTCAGACGCCCTAGGGGCCAGCACAAGGTTCTTGTTAGAACCTCAATTAGAAAGCCAGGTCTGGGGGGCGCCTGGGTGGCTTAGTCGGTTAAGCGTCCGACTTTCGCTTAGGTCATGATCTCGCGGTTCATGGGTTCGAGCCCCGCGTCGGGCTCTGTGCTGACTGCCAGCTCAGAGCCTGGAGCCTGTTTCAGTCTGTGTCTCCCTCTCTCTCTGACCCTCCTCTGCTCACGCTGTCTCTCTCTCTCTCCTAGAAATAAATAAAACATTAAAAAAAAAAATAAAAAAAAAAAAAAAAAAAAAAAATAAAAAAAAAAAGAAAGCCAGGTCTGGGATGGCAGATGGCCGCCCTTCAGGCCCCGTCCTTTCCCCCAGTGATACCTGTGTGCTGATACTTCCCACGGCTGTGTCCCGAGCTTTCCCAACAGTCGCATTGGGATGCCTGAGGAGCATCTCAGACGCAGCAGCCTGTCCAGACCTAAGGCTCCCAATCTTCCCGCTTCAAACCTGCTCCTTCCCTCTGTGTTTCCTGTCTCAGGCAGTTACTTCCTCCCTCCAGCTGCTCAGACCCAAAGTCTGGCTCCATTCCCGGGTCCTCTGTCTCAGGAAACCTGTTGGCTCTATGTGATCAGGAGAGTGACAGCGTAGAGGTCCCCCCCATCCTGATCCTTGGAGCCTGTGACCCAGGCGCCTCCCGCGGCCAAAGCATTTCACTCTTGGGATTAAGGTGAAGACCCTTCGGGGGCGCCTGGGGGGCTCAGTCAGTTAAGAGTCTAACTTCAGCTCAAGTCATGATTTCACAGTTCGTGGGTTCGAGCCCCGCGTGGGGCTCTGTGCTGGCAGCTCGGAGCCTGGAGTTTGTTTCGGATTCTGTGTCTCCTTCTCTCTTTGCTCATCCTCTGTCTCTCAAAAATGAATAAAATGTTAAAAAAAAAAAAAAAAGATTAAGGCCCTTCAGATGGGAGATGATCCTGGATCACCCAGGTAGGTTCCCTATAATCACAGGAGCCCTTCAAAACACAGAACTTTCTCTGGCTGGAGACAGGAGACGTGAGGCAGAAGGGAGGGCAGAGAGATTCAGAGCAGGAGAGGAACTCAACCCCCCTCCCCCGTTTCTGGCTTTGAAAACGGAGGAAGGGACCACGAGTCAGGGAATACGGTGGCTTCTAGAAGCTGAGAATGGCCTCCAGCTGACAGCCAGGAGGGAGACGGGCAGACCTCGGTCCTACATCGGCAAGGAACTGAATTCTGCCAGCAACTCAAATGAACCAGTGTCCCAATGAGCAATCCTCCTTGGAGCCTCCAGAAAGGGACCTAGCCCTCCCACAGCTTGCTTTTGGGATCATGAGACTCTACGCAGAGACCTGACCAGACCACTCAACACGTGGTGCCTTATCGTACCCTCAGAGCCGTAGGACACTCATGCCTTCAAAGTGTGTCCAGGACCCCTCAACAAAATCAAAACAACAGCAACAAAAGTCCCAATTCAGAAATGGGCAAAGGACTTAAAAAGGCATCTCTCTGGGGAAGACGCAGAAATGGCCGATGAGTCCATGAAAAGGTGCCCAACACGTAAAGTCATCAGGGAAACGTAAAGTCATCAGGGAAACGCAGAGTGAAGCCACAATGAGACACCACGTCACACCCACGAAGTCAGCTAGTATCATCGAAGCAGAGGGGCGCCTGGGGGGCTCCGTGGGCTAAGCGTCCGTCCGACCTCGGCTCAGGTCATCATCTCATGGTTTGTGGGTTCGAGCCCCGCGTTGGGCTCTGTGCTGACAGCTTGGAGCCTGGAGCCTGCTTCCAATTCTGTGTCTCCCTCCCTTTCTCTCTCTCTTTCTCTCTCTCTGCTCCTCTCCTGCTCATGTTCTGTCTCTCTCTCTCTCTCAAAAATAAATAAACATTAAAAAAAGAAAAGAGAAAATTAAAAGAAGAAAAGCGGATGGCAAGTGGACAACCCCAGAGACCCCACGCGGCTGCTGCGGAAGGGGGACTGGAAAGTGGTGTGGTCACCATGGAAACCGTGGAAAAGTCTGGTGGCCTCTCAGAAAGCCAAGCATAGAATGATCCTGTGACCCAGCGATTCTACTCCCAGGTGAACGGCACACGAGTGTGGGAGCAAAACCGATGCTCGAATGTTCACGGCAGCCGAAGCGGGCCGGCCCAGCTGCCCAGCAGCCCGCGGACAGACACGCGGCCGGCGGCCCGGCCTCGCACGGGCGCTACTCGGCCGCCGGAGGGGTGAGGCGCTGGCGTGGACGCACCTTGGAAACGTGGCGCTCCGTGGAAGAAGCCACGTAGTGTGGGATTCCATTTATACGAAGGATCCGGAGCAGGCACCTCCGCAGAGGCAGAGTGGATCAGCGGCTTCCGAGGGCTGGAGGGCACCGGGTTCCCTTCTGGGGAGACGGAATATTCTGGAACTGGACAGAGGGGAGAGTCGCATAGCGTGAACGTAGCGGCACTACATGCCGCTGAAGTGCCCGCTTTGACATGGTTAAAATGGTAAATTCGTGCGTATTTTGACCCAGTCAGGAGATTGGGGGGTGCCCTCGCCGCCAGTGTAGGCAGTGCTGGGGCGCGGGGCTCGGCTACGGTCAACCCTCGTGCGCTGCGCCTGCTGAGCCCCGTGGTATCCGGCAGATCCAGGGCTACCTGAAGCACCTCAAGGCCATCGTCCAGTACAAGGAGGAGATCCGGACCCAGCTGCACAACCTGTACTCTGTAGGTCCTCGCCGGGAGGGCGGGGCGGGGCCCGGGGCGGGGCCGCAGGCTCCACCCACCGCCGCCGCTGTGAGCCCACCCAGCACCGTGTCTGCAGTGGAGAGGCTTCCTGGACCTGGCGGACGGCGTCTCGGAAGACACGCTGGACCAGGTCATCGACTCCCAAAAGCCCAACCAGTGTTGTGCCCTGGTCTACAGCATGTCGCTCACCGGCACCCCAAAGGCCATGATGCTCAGCCACGACAACGTGAGTGTCCTGCCCAGAGTGGGCAGGCCGGGAGCCCCCCCACCCCCCTTCCCCCCCCACCCCCCCTCCCCCCCCCGGGGCACCGCAGTCAAGAGTCTCTCACACTTTGCCCCCATCCCCCTTCCCCCCCCACCCCCGCCCGCCTGTGGACGAGGGTGCGCTCCTGGGGGTCGAGAACAGAATGGCCCACAGGAGACGGCTAAGGTGCCTTCCAGATCACTTGGACCACGGAGATCACTGCCCAGAGCCTGTCTTATAAGTCCCCCCCGGAGAAACAGGAGGTCCTGGTGAGCTACCTCCCGCTCAGCTACCTGGCGGCCCAGCTCTTCGACATGTGGCTCTCCATCTCTGTGGCCGGAGCCCTCTACTTCGCCCAGCCGGATGCTCTGAGGGTGAGCAGAGCTCCTCGGTCCCCTGCCGTGGTGGGTGAAGGTGAGGTTGGGGGGGCTGGCCAGGCGGGGTTCACCCTGAGGAGGGGGCACTCAGCCCAGAACTGGAATCCCCACTCTGTCCCCCGCAATTGGCTGTGCAACCTTGGTCCTTCTCCCTGGGCCTCAGTTTCCTCATCTGTGAACGGAAAGGGCTGGAGCAGACATGAGCTAGTGTCATGGGGAATGGGGAGCGTATATCCGGCTTCTACTGCAGAGAGAAAATGCCCAGTGCAGGAAGCTTAATTGAGCCATTAAAAGCATATTAGTGGAAACAACCCAAGTGTCCATCAACAGATAAATGGATAAAGAAATGAGTTCCGTTCATACAATAGAATATTATCCAGCCGTAGAAAGGAAGGATATTCTGACATCTGTCATCACGTGGATGGACCTGGAGGTCACTGTGCACAGTGACAGAAGCCAGACACAGAAGGACACGTCCTGCGTGACCCCACTCACAGGGAGTCCCTAGAGGAGTCCCGTCCACAGTCCACAGAGACAGAGAGTAGATGGTGGGAGCCGGGGGTGGGGTGGGGGTTGGGAGTCAGTGCTTCATGGAGACAGAGCCTCAGTCTGGGAAGATGGAAAGTTCTGGAGACGGATGAGGGGGGAGGTGGCTGCACAACACTGTGAGCGTACCTGACGCCACTGAGCTGTGCACTTAGAGATGGTTAAGATGGTGTTTTGTGGATTTTCCTTGCAATTAAAAAAAAAAGCACGCGGTCACTAACGTACATTCTGTTGTGTGGACTCTGCGAATGCAGAAAATCACAAAATTCCCATCGAGACAGGAAGTAGGGAAAGATGAAGAACACTGACATCATTGCCCGGATCCGTAGGACTCCCTTGGCCAAGGGCCTCGAAGACTCTTCCTGCGAAGGGCCAGGCAGGCAGTGATCTAGGCCTCCCTGTGTCACATACCGTCTCAGGGAGGGAACAGATCATCTGCAGATTTCTCGTTGAACAAACGGAAGCCCTTGTGGACAACGGAAGTTTCAATTTCGTGTTTTCACGTGTCACACAAGATTTCTCCTCCTGGAACTCTTGAAAGGCCTTTTCATAACGTCAAAGCCATCTCAGCGCAGGGGCTGGCCTCTGCCGACCGCGTCCTGGCGGGAGAAAGGCTGGCTCGGGCGGGCGCGGTGGGATCCGCCTTGCTTAGCGCAGGTTTCAGGCGCCAGCACTCGTTAATATTTCGGTGGTGGTCCCTGCGGAATCTCTCCTGGTGACTGAGAAGATCTGAAAATAGTGACAAAAGTGGAGTCTGTCCGTCCCCATTCCCCGCTTCCTCCTATTCTCCCCTTCTGCCCCCATCCCTCCCTGTGTATCTCATCTCGTCTCTCTCTCCCTCCATCTCTGTGTATCTCTGTGTCTCTGTGTCTCTCTGTCTCTGCGCCTTCTCTTCTCCATCCACCCTTCACCCGGACTCAGAGTTCTGGGAGAGGAGGGCAGACAGCACCACAGAAACAGCCAGCAGTGTGGCTGAATCTTACACGCGTTGATCCACGTGGGGAAGGACACGGATCCTGCGTGTCCCGCTGACCAGGGCAGGTGGGAGCAGATGGTCCTTGCTGTCACTGTGGGAGCTCCGGCCGTGGCTGTTAACTCCCTCCCTGGCTCGCTCACAACACGGGAGCCGGGACAGCGCAGAAGGACTTCCAGGGCCTGGCCCTGCTGCGGGGCGGGGGCGGCTCTGTGCAGGGGCGGGGGCTGAGGGCCGGGGCGGGGGGCAGCCGTGGGGGGGGGCTTGGCAGGGCGCCCACCATGCCGTATGGTGCAGGGCTCCCTGATAGACACGCTGCGGGAGGTGAAGCCCACCATTTTCTACGGCGTCCCGTGGGTCTGGGACAGACTGCTGGACACCCTGAAGAGCAGCCAGCTGGCCTCCACCCCGCTCCGGAGGAGGGTCGACAAGTGGGCCATGTGGCTGGGGCTCAGGGCCAACAGAAGGCGGATGCTGGAGTGAGGCTGGGTCTCAGGGTCACCCAGGGTGGGGGGGGGCCCGCCGTGGAGTCCGGAGGCCCAGCTCTGCTCCCCTGCGTCTGCTCCTCAAGGCAGGCCCATCCCCCGCTGTGCTTCAGCGTGGCCAAGAAGCTGACCTTCAACCTGGCGCGGAGGTTCCTGGGCCTGCACCGCTGCCGCCATTACTTCAACCTGGGCGCGGGGCTCCCCGGGGCCACCTTGGAGTACTTCCTCAGCCTCAACATGCCCATCCGCGAGCTCTACGGCTTGGCTGAGAGCACTGGCATCCACACGCTGTCCAGCCAGGAGGACTTCCGGCTGCTGAGGTGGGTCTGGGGGGGGAGGGGCGGGGCTGACCTCCAGCGCCTGCTCCTGGACCAGGCGGGTGCCCGCTGTCACCCGGCCCCGATCCTCCCCCGCCCGCCGGGGACCGCAGACCCAAAGGCGAATGAGCGAAAGCAGGTGAACCCGTGTGTGGCACAACCTGAAGCCCTTCTGCTTTTTTTTTTTTTTTTAATTTGCAAACCATCATTTTTACTAATGGCCAATTGTTTCTGGCACCTTGGCACCTTGGGAGAGAACGCTTTCGTTACTGTTGCAAAGGTCACAACAAACATGAGATCCTGGTCTCTGGGGGTGGGGCGGGAATTCAGGGGCGCTGCTCTCCACGTGCGGTTCCGGTTCCAAGTGCCTCCCGAGGTCAAGCTGTTGGGGGGGAGGGCTTCCTCACGTGGCGGCAGCAGGAGGCCTCAGTTCCTGCCCCCGCTGAGGGTCCTCCTACCCCCAGAGACCCCAGAGAGAGCAAGGTGGACGCCACACTCTCCTTTAGGACAGCAAAGAAACGCACAAGGCACCCGGGGACGTTGGAAATTTCAGATAACAGATGTCCTACAACATCCAGGACATACTTAAACGGACACAAAAATTTGTAATTCAGCTATACATCCTATAAGGCATCTTTTTTTTTTTAAATGTTTTATTTCTAGGAGAGAGAGAGAGAGACAGCGTGAGCAGGGGAGGGTCAGAGAGAGAGGGAGTCACAGACTGAAACAGGCTCCAGGCTCTGAGCTGGCAGTCAGCACAGAGCCCGATGCGGGGCTCGAACACACGAACTGCGAGATCACGACCTAAGCGAAAGTCGGACGCTCAACCGACTAAGCCACCCAGGCGCCCCCTATAAGGCATCTTATGTTTGATCTGGCAGCCCTATTATGGCCTCACCTCAGAAGTGGCACTTGATTATTTCTGCCACATCTGAAGGGTTGTGCAGATCAGCCCTGCCCGGGGTGGGAGGGGGCCACACAGGGGATGTGGATTCTGGGTGGACAGCTATCTAGGAGGCTTCACCCCCCCCCCCACATGCTTCCCAGAGACTCAGCTTGTGTTGAAAAAGAACGGGGTGAAATGGGCGACGGGGGGGGGGGTTGGGGGGGAGAGGGAGTCAGGGCCCTTTCGGTGTGCTGCTGCTCTCCCCTGCCTTCGATCTTCCTAACCTGGGGCTCACCTCTCAAACGGTGACTTGAGGCGACGGGGGCAGATTTGATGCAGTACAGCCACTGCAGCGAGGGCGGTCCAGTGGGAACTGACCGCCACTTCCATTTGGGCCGAGGGGACGGGACATCATAGGGTCTGTGGGGTAGGGGAGGTGGTGGGGGCTTGAGCGGGCTGGGAAGCGGGGCCTCGTGAACCCACCCGGGCGCCTTGCAGACTGGCGCTTCTCTAGAGAGAAATAAACCACTCGCGTGTTTCTGGCAGGAAGCGATGGCGTAGGTCAGAGCCAGCTGCCCCTCTGCGGTGGGGCCCGTTACCTCCCACAAGCGCTTGGAGGAGAGAGCCAGAGTTATCGCCGCAAATGTTTGCATTTCAAAGGGAGGAGACAGTTCTGGGGAGTAGATTTGCATCTCAAAGGGCAGAGAAAGGACTTATCTGCAAGCTTTTTAAAGGAGCTCGTCTAAAAGGGGGTTTAGGCCGCCATCTGGGAAATTCTCTTGGCAGCGTGGAGCTTTCTCGGGGAGGAATGGGGGGGGGGGCGGGGGCGGGGATGGAGTCATCCTGGGATGTGGCCCGGGTTTCTCAGGTCTTTCTGTGTGGGGGTGGATGAAATCATTCATGCACAGAGCCTCCAGTCCTTAGACCTCAAGGCTAGGACCCAGCGAGCAGAGGGCTCAGGGGAGCCTGACCAGAGTTTGGTCAAGGACAGAGAGTCACTGTCCTTAGTGCACCTTGGCTTTGGGAGGGGTGGGGGGCGGTGGGATCTACTTTCAGCAGAGACCGGACAAAGAGCCAATCACAAAGCACTTACTCACCCGCAGGGTCTCCCCAGCCCCCAGACCCAAAGAGGCAGGGCAGCCAGGGGGTCGGGCAGGGGGGCTGGAGGAAGGAGAGGTTACTTGGCCGCTGGGAGCTGGTATTGGGAGTGTTGCTTCCTAGGCTTCCTTGGCCTGTGTTGCGTGACCCCTGCCTGCTGGCAGCGCCACACGGCTCGGGTTACAGCGGGGACACCAGGCGTCAGGAGTCCCTCCCATGTGGGGTGTGGGGCTTGCAATCTAGGCAGAGCCACAGACAGCCCTGGATGCTTCCAGAATAGATCATTCCACACAGGACACAGGGCAGCCCAAGGTAAGTGGTGATCGCAGACGTGAGATCACAACAGGGGCAGCTCAGCGAAGCCTCTCAGCTTCCATTCATTTGTTTTGGGCAGTTTGCTCATTCGGGGAGCATCTGAACGTGAACTCAGAGCTCCCACTGCCCCACGGGGGGCTGGGCATCGGCCCTCAATGGGTGCGTCTTAGCTCTGGCTGCGCCGTAACAGAGCTCACAGGCCAGGGGACTTAAACCACAGAGGTTTACTCAGTTCTAGAAGCTGCAAGTTCAAGATCAAGGTGCTGCGGCCTGAGCTCTGGGTGAGGGCCTCTCCCTGGCTTGCGGACGGCCGTGTCCCGTGTCTTGCGTGTTGGAAAGGGCCAGCGAGCTCACTCTGGTGTCTCTTCGTAAAGGACATCAGACCCATCATTAAGGCCCCACTCTCAGGACCTCATCTAAACCTGATCACCTCCAAATACCATCCCACTGGGGGCTAGGAATTTGAGGGTGACACAACTCAGTCCGTGCAGGGTGCATCCTGGATGGTGGCTGGGCCAGCTCGGAGGCCCTGCCCCGAGTCTCCAGACAGCCTGGGCAGAAAGCAGGGCAAGCACTGGGGTCCAGGTGCCAGGACAGGAACCTCGAGCTTTGAGAGGTGAAGCCCCAGCGTCCTCCCCCCTGTCCCCATTTCCAAGGAGACAAGCAGGTGGTAAGATGCCTCATTCTTACCTGGGTCACATTGTTTCCTCTCCTGCCCAGATACCTTTCATAGCAACCAATCCCACCCGAAGATCAAGACCCGAAGGTGTCTTGAGTTTACTTGTCTTCTTGCCTTGTCCCTTCTACTCACCTGTGGGTTCCTGGGGGCCGGGAGCCAGGTGTGGTGAGTCCACGCAAGCTAGGCCCGGAGTCACGGTGGGCCCAGACTTCCCTCCCCGGGGGACTGCACCCTGTTTCCTGACTCCATCTGTCCCCTCCTTGGGTCTACGGGACTCTAGCAGCCAGACAGGCAGAAAAGGCCTGGGGTCTGAAGAGCTGTGTGAATAGGGGCAGAGGGGCAGTGGGCGGGGGCGCCCCTACGCTAGTGGGGATCTGTATCTGTAATAACGTCCTCCCTGCCCGCTGTCCCCAGCTGTGGGAAGTCCCTCCCCGGCACCCGCACCAGGACCCAGAAAGAAAATGAGGAGGGCACTGGGGACATCCACATTTGGGGCCGGAACGTCTTCATGGGGTACCTCAATGATGAGGAGAAAACCCAGGAGAAAATTGATGTCTATGGCTGGATGCGCACGGAGGACCTGGGCTTTTTGGACAATGATGAATTCCTCTATGTCTTGGGCAACGAAAAGGGTAAGCGAGACAAGGCTGCAAGGTACTTTCTGCCTCTGACCAGGCCCCACAGGGCTGCCGTGGACGGTGGTGCAGGTTGCATACAGCACAATGACGAGGGAGGACTGGAGTTCAGCTTGGAGGAAGGGGCACCCTTTGAATGCTGGGCTCCATCTCTGTTGTTTCCGAGCGTCGGGGGGTGGCTATGGGCTCCAGGAGAGCTGACCTGAGGTAGCTTTCCAGGACCACACCCCTCTCTCTCGGCATGCAGATATCATCACCCTCAGTTCAGGTGAGAAGATCAACCCGAATCCCATCGAGGAGCGCGTGAAGAGGTGCATTCCCATCGTCCACTACGTGGTGCTAGTGGGCCAGGATGCCCCCTACCTGTGTGCTCTGCTCACACTCAAGGTGCCTCAGCACTGGTTGGGGCCTCTCCGCAATCTGGGCTGTTGGCTGGGTGGGGGCTGCTGTCCTGGTGTCGAGATGGGGCGCCTGGGGCGCCTGGGTGGCTCTGTCAGTGAAGCGTCCAATTCTTGACTTCCGTTCGGGTCATGATCTCGAGGTTGGTGAGTTCAAGCCCTGCATCAGGGCGCTCGCTCTCTCTGCCCCTCCCCCACTCGTGAGTGTGCTCTCTCTCTCCAAATAAACTTAAAAAAAATGGGGAGACTGAGGCTGGAGAGGAGAGGCAGTGGCTCAGTGGCTCAGTGCCAGCTCCCCGCGTCCCAAGCCTGGGGCACTGGCCATGCCTGTGGGGGAAAAGCTCCGGGCCTGTTTCCAGAGGCATGGCAGAGGGACTTGCACCCGGCCCAGCCGGCCCCTAGGAGGCAGGGGAGTACCGGCCAAGTGTCCCAGGTTGTGCCGCTTCCTCATCCGTACAATGGGGGTGGGGACCTGGCCCTCCCAGGGTCAAGAAGACAGTGACACAGGACCCATGCGTGTGAGCCCCAGTACGGGGAGCTGGGCTTGGCACTTTGAGATCCGCCTGACCCGCCATCCCCGAACGACAGTGCCAGGTCAACATGGACACGGGGGAACCTCGCAACGCGCTGACCAGCGAGGCGGTGGCCTTCTGCAGGCAGCTCAAGAGCCAGTCCACCCGGCTGTCAGACATCGTGTATGACAGAGACCCAGTGGTCATGGACTTCATCAGTCAAGGGATCGATGCTGCCAACGCCCAGGTCACCTCCGACAGCGCCAAGATCGTCAAGTGGACGATCCTTGAGACGGACTTCTCCATGGTTGGAGGGGAGCTGGGTGAGCAGGCCCGGGCCCAGGGAGGGGTCCTGGCGTGGTCGCCCACACCCAAGACCCTGGGGTGCTCGTGAGATCGCCAGCCTTCTCTGGGCTGGGATCCCTGGTGCCTGCATTTTTCACCAGCACCTCCAAGGAATCTGGCAGAAGGTCCCCGGGGTGGGCCCCATGCAGGATGGGCACAGGGCACTTGGGGACGAGCCTCTCCATCCAGTCACCCCTCTGCGTCCTCAGGACACACCTGGCTCACGAACACATCATCCTGCGGAGGGGGGGAGGGGCAGGAGGCCCCGCCTCAGATGCGATTCTGTTTCAGGGCCGACCACCAAACTGAGGAGGGCCAACGTGGCCAAGATCTACCAGCCTGAAATTGAAAGCTTTTACGAGGAGGATGAATACTAGCAGTGGGAAGGGTGGGGGGCATCCTGCTGCCCCAGGAAACCCCCTGCCATGGGCATCCCCGTCCCCCTAGATCACAGAGCTGCCTTCCAGCAGGAGGGAAGTGCAGTGTTTCAGATTTAAAGGTAAAAGGAGAATAAAATTGGTATCACCAAAGCAGTGGTGTTGACGCGGGGTGATCTTGCACCCCCAGAACACGTGTGGCGATGTCTGGGCGACATTCTGGGTTTGTCCCAACTAGGCAGGCAGGTGCTAGAGGCACTGGGTGGGGGAGGCCAGCCAGGGCTGTTGCCCCACAACCCACAGCGCACGGGAGAGCCCCCGCAAACCGGGAAAAACTGCCCGGCCACAAAATGTCAGTCGTGCCGAGGTAGGTGAGGGGTTGCACACGGAAGGCTCTGGAAAAGTCGAAAATGGGTGATAAAGCCTTCTCCACTTTGAGAATCTGCACCCTCTACCTGAGAAGCTGCGGGGCTGCTGCACAGCCCAGTAAACCTCCCGAGATGGGTGCAGGACCCCCCCTCCCCGCCCCGGGTTTGCAGTCACCTGGCAAGAGCAGCTGAGTGCTCACCCGGGACCCACCAAATGCCAGCCGGACACACATTCAACAATTATGGTTGAAACCAACATGTAACAGGAAACTTCCAAACAGCAAGACACAGAAAAGGCTCTGAAGCTCTGGCTCATTAGGTTATGTGGGGAAATTCTGAAAAGGCAAGAATAACTAATGGGGGGGGGGGGTCTAGTCCTACCAGATAGTAAATACATTACAAAGCAGCCGTAATTAAAAGCTCAGGGATAGGGTGTAAATGACGGATCCGCAGAGGGAGGGAAGCCCGGCTCAGGCAGGAACGTGTGCAGGAATTGAGGAACGCACCAGAGATGGCATTTCTGGCGGGGGATGGACTGCCTCGCGTCACTTCCGGGGTCCTACCTTAAGGCGAAACAAATTCCAGATGGAACAAACAAGGGAGAGAAGGGGAGGGAGGGAGGGAGGGAAAGGGGGGAAGACAGTCAGTTGCTGGAAGAAACCAACGGAGAGCTTCTAAGACTTGTATCATCGTCAAGGAATAAACCACCCGAAGCCACTGTGGGAAAAGCTTGCTGTAAACGCAAGGCGTGGCCGTGGCAGGGACGCGCACGATGACGCACAGGCAAGCCCGGGACAGCGCTGCCGAGGCCAGTGCGGTGCTCCACGAGGCGCTCCCAGAAATGACTCGCAGACACAGAAGCCCGCAGACGCCTACGCAGGCGGCAGAAGGTGGGGGTGGGCGAGGCGGGTGCCCGGGAGGCTGGAGACCCAGCAGCACCCGTGCAGTCACGGCAGGGGACGGGGTGGGGGGTCGGGGAGGAGACCCAGGGAGACCTTCCAAATGAGTGAATTCTCAGATATCCCGGGGCAAAGCGTGCTGGTGTAGGAGTTCTGTCTTGGTCATGAGTGGAGATGGCTCTCAGGGGACACGTAAGGAAGTGGACGTGGAAAGGACAGGAATGAGGGTTGCCGCTCACTTGTGCACATGCCCTTGGAGCCTTCCGACTAGTCTTGAATTTGTGTCACTAAGATAAATCTAAAATGTAGGATTTGAAAATATCCAAGGCAAGAGCATTTAAAAGGGACAGAGATGTCATGCTGATTGATGAAAGCAGCACATCACAGGGCACCTGGGTGGCTCAGTGGGTTGAGTGTCCAGCTGTGGGTTTTGGCTCAGGTCATGATCTCGGGGTGTGTGAGTTCGAGCCCCAGGCCGGGCTCTGTGCTGACAGCACAGAACCTGCTTGGGCTTCTCTCTCTCTGCCCCTCCCCAGCTGTCCTCTCTCAAAATAAATAAACTTAAAAAAAAAAATCACCAAAACATATGGAAACGGTTTTCAACTAAAAACCAAAAAGAAAACTTTAAGGGCACCAGAGACCAGACACAAAGGGGCAAGAGACCAGTGTGCTGGCTTCTCAACAGAAGGGGCCGGAGCCAGGCAGCCACGCCGCTGGCCACATACGACTGCACTTAGAGGAAGCACCTTTACGAACTAAGGATGAAACGGACAGGCCTTTTTTGCACCAACAGAAGCCGAGAGAATTCACTGCTGCTGCTGCGAATTCCTCAGGCTCAAGGAGCGTGGGCCCAGATGGACCCCAGGGAAGGAGGCGCAGACACACACAGGCACCTGCAGGAGCGCGTGCCTGGGCCGGAGTCTGACACGTGCCTCCGGGCTGTCCCGCAGGGAGGCGGACTCTCCCCTGCCCTGCCCGCAGGACTCGGACAGCAGCACCCACGCCCCCCAGCGCCTGCGCCTGTGCCGAGTCAGCAAGTGCTCCTTAGCAGGGCGCCCCGCCTGCGGCAAGCCCTGCTGCATTCTATCCCTGAGGCCTTCGCTGCGTCGTGGGGGGCTGGGGGCCACGGGAGCCGCTCCAGATCCTGCTGCGGGGGCTCCAGTCAGAAAGTGTCCCGGAAGACTTGCAGAATCTTTCTCCGACAGGAAGGACGGGGCAGGGGAGGCCACCACCTGCTGAAGTAGAAATTCTGGCTACTGCCGAGAAGAAAGGCTCCCGAGGGTCCCGGTGTGGCCGGCCATCTCTCTCGCACCTGCTGTGAGTAGGGTGGCCGGGGTACCGGGAAGAAAACTGTCACAGAGTGGGCGGGGCCACTGACGTGGGGCCCGCAAGAGCTCGGGGCTCACTCAGCTCTGCCACACGGGGTCCAGAGCAAAGCCCACCACCGACAACCCGGCAGGCAGGCACCCCAGCTCTCAGCAGAGATGGCCTTTGCCCACATTTTTCTATGTATCTCGCCTTCTGTCACCTACCCGTCCACCCGTGCTCCCATCCTGTGAAGTCAAGCTTGTCTTTCAACCCCAACCTTGTCACCTGCTCCCAAGGAAAGAACACACCATCAAAAGTCACGCAAGACCCCGCTTTCCGCCATCATTCCCCTCTTGAATTTCCAGTGGTCCTGGCTCCCCCTCCCCCTCCCCTCCTCCCCTCCACTCCTGCTGCCCAGGCTTGACGCCAACCCTCTCTCCTCTTCCCGGTCATACCAGGGGGAATGAAGTGGACGCACAAGGCTCTCCGTGTAAGTCTGCTTTCCCATCTGACTTTATTTCACTTTTTTTTTCTATAAAACTCCTCCATAATTTCACAATTTAACAAAAAGTTTAAAATTCAGGACAGAAACAATCCTGTAACTTATTACAAACACGATTCTCCTTTATTCCTTTTATCCAGGAGTTGGTCTCAGACTGATGAGTGTCCTAGTTCCTAGTGAGACACATTCTTTGTAAAAACCCTTGTGGGTAAGAAAGGTATTCGATACCTTTGCTTTCAGGTGTTGGTTTACGTTTTGTTCAGGAGATAGCAAAACACAGAGATTTGCACTGGGGGCAGGGGGCTTAACACTAAACACGCGGCAGTCACAAAGTGCGGCCCCTTCCTATGGAAGCGTCCCCAGAGCCCTTGTAGGCCCAGCTGCCGGGCAGCCGGGGGTGGGCCGGGGAGGGGGCAGCTGGGAAGGCTGCGGTCAAGGCCCTGGTTGCCTGGCACGTCCATCAGGTGATCATGGGGCCAGCACTGGGCCCAGAGCAGCTCTGGGGGACAGCGCTGGGGCCTTCTGGCCAGAGGAGGTAACTGAGAAATGGGTTGGTGCTTCTGAAGGCCCCAGAAACAGCAGGAGGGGCCAGACGCTGCTGCTACGGAGGGCAGAGGCCAAAGCCTGGCCTTCCTCCAGCTGCTTCCGGGGACAGCCCGGCTCCAGACCAGAACGCTGCCTGAGTCCCATGTGGAGCTCAGGAGGGCCTGCCTATGGCCCTTCCCAGGGGATGCTCCCGAAGAGGAAAGCCCGGCGGCGCCCTGGGGCTCGGGGTCCCAGCCAGGGCCCCCAGCAGCCTCTGTGCAGAGGGCCAGGCAGCTGCTGCCTTTCACTTAGCCCACATCAGGCTAGTTCCTTCTGTCCAATGTCTTAGAGTTTCCAGAGAAGAAAGGTGCCCCACTTTGGAGTATTGTCGGCCTGCCTGGGGAAGGGGACGGTGGCGGCGCGGAGCCTGCCACACAGGCCTGCCCTCTTCCTAATACCTCAAGGCAGTGGGGTCAGGAGAGAATCAGAGCAGATGGCGAGGAGTCATGGCAGTTTCCTCTGGAAGCTCTCAGGCCTTCCCGGAGTCCTGGGGTTTCACCAGGGAGGCTGAGACCGGGGGAACCTTGGAGGCAGGTCTCCCCAGGGAGTGTTTAGGGTCTGCCTGACAGACGGAACCGGAGACACACACCAGTCGGGAACCACAGGGAGGGGAGCTTGGCACTCCCCGCATCGGAGCTCCGACCGGCGTGGAGGAAAGGCCCTCTGAGGCTGGGCCGGGAGAGAAGGTGAGCCCGCTTCAGGGCCCCAGTCCTCTCCCCTGCATCTCGTTCAGGGCAAAAGTCAGGGCGGGGGCGCTGGGGGAATAGAGGCCGAGCAGACAGGACCCCAGCCCCCGGCAGCCCCACCCAGGGTGGGCTAACCCCATGAGGGCATTCTGGCTGAGAGGGAGGAGCCAGCTTGGCCCTCGGAGAGTCTCAGGCATGCGAGGAGTCGGGTCTCTGGACTGGCGTTGACTCGAAGGGGTGGGAGGGCCGGGCCCACGCCAGAGACAGGGGTGCCCGGGAGGGCCTGCTGCCGGCCGGGCCCTGGCTCGAGGGGCTGGCTCCGAGTCCTGATGCTCCTCAAAAAACTCCACAAACTATCCCGTCTTATTTGGCAAAAGCTCATATTTTTCAAAGTTCGAAGACTCCAACCACAGAAAGGAGGAAGAGGATCCTATGGAAGGAGGAAGAAGACGAGCCGTGGGGGGCGACACACGACATGGCCTACAGCTGGTGGAGGCCAGGAGATCTGCTCCCGAGGCGGCCGCCAGTCTGACCAGGCGCCAAGCGCACGGCAGCCCCTGGTGCCCGAGGACCTGCTGCCCCGTCGTAGTGTTCGCTGGCCCTCGGCCGGGCCCTCCAGGCCGCGGGAGCACGAGGCAGCCGTGGAGCCACGAAGGGGCGCGTCCTCCCCTCGCCCGGCGACGCCGGCGGTGCTCCGGCCGGGCCTCCAGCCCAACGACAAGACCAGTGGAAACATCTTAACCTAAAAGTCCCACCTTACTCACCCCCCACCCCCCACGTGCACTGCTGCCACGGA